CCTCCGAGGATGGCGAGAGGCTGGTGTGGAGCGGAGCTGCCCCGGAGTGCAGGCGTGAGTGTGGGATCGGGGTGGGATCGGGGTGGGATCGGGGTGGGATCAGTGTGGGATCAGTGTGGGATCAGTGTGGGATCAGTGTGGGATCAGGGTGGGATCAGGGTGAGATCGGGGTGGGATCAGGGTGTGGGATCGAGGTGGGATCAGGCTGTGGGATCAGGGTATGAGATCAGGCTGTGGGATCAGGCTGTGGGATCAGGGTGTGGGATCAGGATGTGGGATCAGGGTATGAGATCAGGCTGTGGGATCAGGCTGAGCCAGGCCCTGGGGGCAGTGTTAGCGCTCAGAACAATGGGTTAAAGCGAGCAGGGCTGCCTGGAGATGCTGCTTCCTTCACAGGAGCGGGATGATCCACCTGGAAGTGCCAGACGCTGCTTCTCCCAGCCGGGGGCCATCAGGGGGTGGGGAGGAGCAGCTCTGCCCGGGTTCTGCTGTCCCCAGAGCCCATTCCCAGCTCTGCTCTGTCCCGCAGTGATTCGGTGCCCCAAGCCGGTGGTGGAGAGGGCGAGGATGACCCCACAGACGTTCACCTTTCCCTACGGGCTGCTCCTGCACTTCTCCTGTGACGAAGGCTTCGGGCTGCGCGGCGCTGCCCAGAGCCAGTGCCTGGCTGATGGCACCTGGGGCCCTCCCCTGCCCACCTGCCAGCCAGGTCAGGGACATCTCCTCCTCCGTCTGTTCCTTCATTTTCAACCTGCGTTTTCCTTCCAGTTCCGTGTCCCAAACCCCCACGGCGGGAGGATGTAGCGATTCACTAACAAACTGTGGTATGGGGTGCATGAAACTTCACCCTTCTACTGCAGCTGTGATGGGCATTTAGGGCTGCTTCCAAAATCTCCCTGCTCAGCCCCTGCTCCGGGGCACAGCAGAGGGCTTGGGGTGCAGCATTGCCTGGCTCTGTCTGTCCTTGCGGCTTTCCCCTCTTTGCAGAAGAAACAACCTTCCCAAAGCTGCTGTTTTCCAGGTAACAGTGGAGTTTTTATTCACAGCTGCGTGTAAAGGAGGCCCTGAGACAGGTCAGGAGTGGATTTTCCTTTCCCTTATTGCCAAATGCCCACCCCCATCGTGGGGATGCCTGGATGCAAACAGCAAATCCATAACGAGCTCCCAGTGCCTCTCAGGGGCTGCTCTGACCTTCACCTCATGAACAGAAGTATTTCCTGATTTCATAGCTCCACAATTTAAAGTTCCTCTGCACTGGCTCAGCCTTCCTAAACTTCTTTCTGACCTCGGGCTGAGCTGCCTTCTGTGGGTTTTGCTTTCAGTGCTGTGTCCAGAACCACGAGTGCTCTACGGAAGGCTGAGAAGCCCTTTGGGTGGTGAGAGGTGGTACCAGACCAATGAAACTGTCACCTTCGAGTGCCTGCCTGGCTACCAGCTCCCAGACAATGCAAGGATGCCTTTGGGAGACGCTGGGACAGCCACGTGTTTGCCTGACGGCAGCTGGACACCGCTGCCCAAGTGTGTGAGTAGCACAAAACTGCAGAATGGTTTGGGTTGGAGCCTTGAAGATCACCCAGTGCCAACCCCTGCTGTGGTTCAACCTTTCCCTGCCTGATTCCTGACATGAAATCTGCTTAAACTTCTCAAAGGTTTTTAATTTCTGGTCCTGAGGAGGATGCAGCCCCTGTTGGGACAGGGCAGAGGAGCTGAGGAGGGGGTGGCTCTGCCTCTGCTGCAGCCCACCCTCACAGGCTCCTCTGGGGTTTGTTTTCCTGCTCAACAGGTGAAAGAAGATGATGCTGATGTGTGCCAAGAGGTTCAGTACATTAAATCGACCTTTGAATGCGGTGTGCCTGTAGAAGAGCTGAAAAGTCTGCTGGAAATACAGAAACTGTTCCTGGAGATTAAAAAACTCCAGGTGGAACTCGAAAACTGAAACGAAACTGGACCCCTGCGACACTCACCTTTCCTTTGGTGAACTCACAGTTTGTGCAGTCACAGCATCTCTAAGAGGGCTCTGGGTGATTTTATGGTTTATGTTTGCATGCCTGGAGTCAGAAAAATAAACACCAGGGCATGGGAGGCTGCTTTTGCTGTGCTGGATGCCAGGGCAGGGAGTGGGTTTTGCTCTAACCTACAAGCTTGATTTGCTCTTTAACTAACAAGTTGTTCCACATTTCACATTAGAAAGCATAGAAAGATTAAATGTAGCTTTTTTTTAAAAAAAAAAGCTGTCTTAACTGTGGTAAGCTGAGGCAAATGGGAGTGAAGTCCAGAAAAGCTGAGGTGAGTCCAGAGCTGGCTCTGAGCTCTGTGCTTGTGCTGCCATGGTCCAGCTGGGGTTTGGGCACGTTTGCATCCTCCTGGAAACAGCAGTGCAATAAATATTACATGATTTCCGTTCCTCTGGGTTAGGGCAGTTCACAAGAGGTGTTGTAAAGGCTGCTGTTACCTCATCCCTGGGTTTAAACAGGGAACAGATTCCTCTTATCCGAGCTGGTGGCATCTTCCACACCCCCATTTCTGGTGAGCAAATGCCAAGGACAGGTGCTGGGATTGAGCCAAGAGCAGAGAATCAGGCAGCGCATTCCTGTTCCTCAAAAATGCTGATCAGACCCCGTGGCTCTGGTGCTGTGGTTATTCCTGGGGGTTTATCCAGGGGGGGAGGTGGGAGCTGTCATGTTGGCTGTAAATTGGGCAGGTTTCCAGTGGTTCTGGGGGAAAGCTGAGCCCTGGCAGCTGGGTGAGTCCTGGGCTGCTCAGGGAGAGTGGATGGGAGAAGCAGAAGCCTTCGCCTCCTGCACGAGCATCACTGCCAGATGTGTGCTTTTAGAAGTTATTAAAATCACTTTGTTTGGTACCAGAGCCTGCACAACAGCCAGGGAATTGGGGGTGCCTCTGATTTTGCACAGAAAAGGTGCTTTGGGATGCATCCCGTGCTCCTGCACCTCCAGGTGAGGAGCTCTGCCACGAGAGGTGCTGCCAGAGCTGCTCCCCGTCCTGGGGTGACACCTGGGTCCCCTCCACCCTGAGCTCACCTGGGACTGCAGACAGGGGCTTTATCTCCCTCTGCAGGGCTTGACACCCACAAAGTGTGAACAAAACCTGGGTGTTGCAGCCTGAGGGTGTTCGAGCAGCCCTGGCTGATGTCAGGGTGAACGAGGACGCAGATGTGGCTGCTCACACCCGTTCCTCATTACCAGTGAGTCAGACAATGAAAGAACAGCAAACGAGAAGGAAAACGCTTTTATTTGCTTCACTGCCTCTGCTGACAGCAGATCCGTGGTGTGTTACCTGCCAGCAAATAACTGAGGAGGTGTTTTCCTACCCTGGAGGCAGCTTGGGGTTGGAACGGGGTCTTTTCTTCTCTGGGAGCGTGGTTTTGGAAAAACTGTGTTGGTCAGTGCTCACTGCCAGCCTGACGGGGCAGGAGGACCAGGAGGATCTCCCCGAGCCTGGGAGTGACAGTTGTCCCCACCCTGGCTGCTCTCCGTGTTCCTGACGGAGATTTCAGCTCCGTGGGTGTCCCGGGAAGGTTTCCATGGCTCCAGAGGCTTGGTGGAGCCCGCAGTGCATCCCCTCCCAGCCCTCACACAGCCCTGGAGGCAGCGGGGCTGGACCGAGGAGCACAGGAATTGCTGCAATGAGGGCTGGAGCAGCAGGACAGGGGGGACACCCTGAGCCCCAGAGCTGCAGGACGGGCTCTGGCCACTCTGTGCTGCTCCTGGCCCTGCTGGGGCTCCTCAGCATCGCTGCGGCTCGTGGTGAGTACGGGGCCGTGGGAAGGAGCAGGGGCACCTGCCCGGATCCCAGCTGGCTGCTCAGGGGCTGGGCTGGTGATGCCACCCCCAGCCCGGGGACTGAGCCGTGGCTCGGTGCTGTCCCAGCCCCGCTCTGGTTCCTCACCTGAGGCACCTTCTCCTGCCACAGGTGACTGCGGGCCGCCTCCTGCCATGACCCACTCCAGGCCCTCCAGCAGCTCCAGCAGCTTCCCGGTGGGATCCAGGGTGACTTTCACCTGCGCCGAGGGAGCCCGCAGGATCCCGGGGCTGCCGGACACCTCGGAATGCCTGCCCGGCAGCATCTGGTCCAGGCTGCCGGAGCCCTGCGGCCGTAAATACTTCATCCTTTTTATCTGCAGCATGGCCCTGGGCTAACACCCCTGTCCTGGGGACAAACCCACTGTGCTGTCCCTGTCCTGGGGACAAACCCTCTGTCCCTGCCCCTGTTCCTGTCCCCGTTCCTGTCCTGGGGACAAACCGTCTGTCCCTGTCCTGGGGACAAACCCACTGTCCCTGTCCCTGCCCCTGTTCCTGTCCCTGCCCCTGTCCTGGGGACAAACCCACTGCCCTGCACTGCTGCCCCTCAGAGCCGCTGGTGGCCACAGGGGCTGGGACAGGGGTCAGTCAGGGGCTGGGACAGGACAGGGGTCAGTCAGGGGCTGGGACAGGACAGGGGTCAGTCCCGTGCCCCACAGCCTGTCCATGTGCTCCCCATGTCCTGCTAACCCCTTCCCCGAGCTCCTACACCCCTCCATCCCCGCTCTGGCACCTGCAGCAGGTTGGCAGCCCTGCAAGGAGCCCGAATTAACCTGCCACGAGCACCAGGAGCCCTCCAGAAGCGCTCCCGTGGTCCCAGGGAGTGTTTGGCCCTGTCCTGGTGGGCAGCTCTGTCAGGCCAGCTTTCCTTGGCTGCAGGGAGCTGCTCTGCCCCAACACGGCTGAGGTTTGCTGCCCTGTCCAAGGAGGACGAGACGAGGAATTTCTTCCCCGTTGGCACCAACGTGAGCTACGTCTGCCGGCCCGGCTACGAGAACACCTCGGAGAGTTCCCCCTCCAGCACCTGCCTCGAGAACCTGACGTGGTCACAGCCCCCTGAGCTGTGCAGGAGTGAGTATTGCTGCTGCCCCCACACCCCAAAAAAGCATCCCTGGCTGATCCCAGCCTGCATCCCGAAATGCAGCCTGGTCATCATCATCCAGCAGCTCCTTTAACACAAAATCGGGCGGATATTCCTTGTCATTCCTACCTGAGACTGAACAGCAGGAGTTTCAGTGATGTTTTTTATGCTTTTTCTGCTGGTCTGCTTTGATTTTCATGCTAGGGAATGTTGGATTCGGTGATCTTAGAGGTCTTTTCCAACCCTTTTATGGTCCTGAAGAATTTCCAGTGGGACACGGCACATGCAGGGGACAAATCCCAATTTGCTGTTCTAGCACTGAACTTCAACACAGAGGCCAAACATTCTCTTGGTGACACCCATGGAATGTTAGGGCTGGTGATGTGACAGGAATGGTTTTTCACAGTCGATCCACTGCTGTGGAAACCCCTCTGTGAATCTGGAGCATTTTGGGATCCCCACCTTCCCCCACAGCTGAGCCTGGCTCCTGCCAGCCTGGCTGTGATGCCCATGGAATAAAATACTCTGGAACCTTTGGGAAAACCCTCCAAGCCTGCGTCCCAGGTCTCATTCAGCCTTTTTTGTGTCCCCCAGGGAGGTCCTGCGGCGCCCTGGGAGCGCTGCCCGGGGGGAGGACGGGGCCCCTCATGGCCCTGGAGCTGGGAGCACGAGTGGATGTGTCCTGTGAGGATGGGTGAGTGCTGGCACACAGCTGCAGGGTGGCACAGAGCTGCAGGGTGGCACAGAGCTGCAGGGTGGCACAGAGCTGCAGGGTGACACACAGCTGCAGGGTGGCACACCCCAGGGTGACACACAGCTGCAGGGTGACACACAGCTGCAGGGTGGCACACAGCTGCAGGGTGGCACACAGCTCCAGGGTGGCACAGAGCTGCAGGGTGGCACACAGCTGCAGGGTGACACACCCCAGGGTGACACACAGCTGCAGGGTGGCACACAGCTGCAGGGTGACACACAGCTGCAGGGTGGCACACCCCAGGGTGACACACAGCTGCAGGGTGGCACACAGCTGCAGGGTGGCACACAGCTGCAGGGTGGCACACCCCAGGGTGACACACAGCTGCAGGGTGGCACACAGCTGCAGGGTGACACACAGCTGCAGGGTGGCACACCCCAGGGTGACACACAGCTGCAGGGTGACACACAGCTGCAGGGTGGCACACCCCAGGGTGACACACAGCTGCAGGGTGACACTCAGCTGCAGGGTGGCACACAGCTGCAGGGAGGACACCAGGGCCAGGATTCAGGGCCACCTCTTCCTCCAAGAGCCACCCAGAGGAGCTCCAAGTGTCCATCCCAACCAGAGCAGTTGTACTCTCAGCTGAGCACTCTAGGCTTCCATACAAGTTATTTAAAATATTTCAGCTTAAAATAGTTGGGATATATTGAACAAAAAGTGGTTTTTCACTGGAATTTTTAAAATCCAGCTGGGAAAGTGCAGTGAAGCACAATTTCCACAGTCAGGAGCTGACTCATGGCTGCTGCCTGCTTTCAGTCAGGGCCCAAATGCGGAGGACAGGAATTTTTATTTCCAGCTGGTGTTCCTCCCTCCCTCCCTGCAGGAATCAGCTGGCATCACCTGGCTTGTGCTTGTGCACGTTTAACAGAGGGGGTTTCCCTCTCCCTTGGGATGTGACTGGAGGAAAGGACAGCGTGTCCCGCCCTGCTGGCCTTCAGCTAAACTTTGGAAATCCGCAGCAGGGTGGAGGGATGATGCTGCTCCTGTTAGATCAGATATCATCCACCATGTCCAGAGGCCGAGGGGTTTTGCACAGAATGGGGAAGGTGTCAGCTGCCAGAACAAGATCCATGAGCTTCCAGCCAGCCAGGGCAGAAACCACTTGAATTAAATGTGGCTTGATCCCTGCTGCCCCTCTGCTGTACATGGAGGCTCCACCCGAATCCCAGAATCCCAGACCGGTTTGGGTTGGAAGAGACCTTAAAACCCATCCAGTGCCATGGACAGGGACACCTCCCCCTGTCCCAGGTCCCGTCCAACCTGGCCTTGGACACTTGCAGGGATGGGAAGTGTGCAAGTTCTCTGGGGAAAGCATTTTATCAGCTGAAGAGGTGCCCCAGCAATGTGCTGCCAGCCGGTTTTCCGACAAAGCTTCAGCAAAACGGCTGCACCTGACACCCCAAAGAGGTGTTGGGCAGGAGGTGGCACTGGGGGACACTGGGGGACACTGGGGAGCCCATCAGTGACCCCGGTGAGCAGCAGCCGGGGCTGAGCCCAGCCTTTGGAGGTGCTGTGTGTGCTCAGCACGGAGCCTGTCCCTCGTCACCTCATCCCCGAGGGGACAGCAGCGTGGGAAAGGCCCTGGGTGGGGACAGAGCCAGTCCCAGCACTGCTGTGGGCCAGGAGCAGGCAAGAATTGAGTCCCTGATTCAGCAAATCCGTGTGGGAATCCAGCCCTCAGCTCAGCCCTGCCTGCCATTCCCGGAAAGCTCCAAATTCTCCCTTCCCTGCCGTGGGAAATGCAGAGTCAGAGCAGGGAATCACGTAAAATAGATGAGCACAGACCCTGGCAGGAGTTCTCCTGTTAACCAGCATCGCTGCTTGTTTGGAGCTGCCTTTCCTACACTCCTGGTCATGGTGGGAAATATTCCCAGGTTTTGGAGAGTTACAGTGATTTTCTCTCGTGTATTTTAGGTACAAATTAGTTGGGAATAATTTCATCCAGTGCCAGCTGAAAGGAAACGATGTTGAATGGAGCGAACTTCCAACTTGTGAATGTGAGATTCATCTTTAATTGTGAGATTAAACCTTTCTAATTCACTCCAGCAGATCCTGCATCCCAGTTCCAGCCCAAACCTCTCTTGGGATTGTTTTTGTTGATGCTCTGTGGCTGATCTGTCCCCAACAGCTGAGAAATTCCCATTCTGCTGCTGATGCCATTTCAGCAGCTTTTCTCCCACAAAGTCAACATTTCTGTCATGACTGAAGGTGATGGGGTGAGATTTCCAGGAATCCTGAGCATGGAAAATTGCTGTTTATTTGCTGTGGCTGTGCTGGGAGAGGGAGAAAGGTGTGGGAAGAGAAACTTTGGGACCAAACGAGAGGAAACTGGGACAGGCAGCTTCACCCATCCAGTGCTGGTCACCTTCACTGCCCAAAGTTTATCTGCAAGAGCCTTAGGAAGACTCAAATTTTCTACATTTTATTAAAGTTTTAGCCAACACATTGTCCTTCTCTCCTGCAGTAATTACCTGCTCTCCACCTCCTCCGATCAGCCACGGCAGACACGATGGGGAAGGCGTTGAAATTTTTGCTTATAACTCCACGGTGACCTACAGCTGTGACCCCGAATTCCAGCTGCTCGGGAATGGGAGCATCCGTTGTCAGAGCAGGGACAGAACCAGCGGGGTCTGGAGCGGTGCCGTGCCCGAGTGCAAAGGTGGTTTCATCTGAGTGCAGTGTTTGATACCAGTATTTATTATTTGTTATTTGTTATTTATTATTCATTATTTATTATTTATTATTTGTTATTTATTATTTGTTATTTGTTATTTGTTATTTATTATTTGTTATTTATTATTTATTATTTACTATTTATTATTTATTATTTGTTATTTGTTATTTATTATTCATTATTTATTATTTATTATTTGTTATTTATTATTTATTATTTCTTATTTGTTATTTGTTCTTTATTATTTGTTATTTATTATTTATTATTTATTATTTATTATTTATTATTTATTATATAGTATTTATTATTTATTATTTATTATTTATTATTTATTATTTATTATTTATTATTTATTATTTATTATATAGTATTTATTATTTATTCTTTAATATTTATTATTTATTATATATTATTTATTATTTAATATTTATTTATTATTTGTTATTTATTTATTATTTATTATTCATTATTTATCATTTGTCATTCCTTATTTACAATTTGTTATTTACTATTTATTATTATTATTTATTATTTATTATTTATGATTTATTATTCATTATTTGTTATTTGTTATTTATTATTTATTATTTATTATTTATTATTTATTATTTATTATTTATTAATTATTATTTATTATCTATTATTTAATATTTATTATTTATTATACATTATTTATTATTTAATATTTATTTGTTATTTGTTATTTATTTATTATGTATTTATTATTTATTATTCATTATTTATCATTTGTCATTCATTATTTAAAATTTGTTATTTACTATTTATTGTTAATTATTATTTATTATTTATTATTTGTTATTTATTATTTAATATTTAATATTTAATATTTAATATTTAATATTTAATATTTAATATTTATTTTTATTTTTTATTATTTATTATATAGTATTTATTTATTCTTTAATATTTATTATTTATTATATATTATTTATTATTTAATATTTATTTGTTATTTGTTATTTATTTATTATTTATTTATTATTTATTATTCATTATTTACTATTTACTATTTACTATTTACTATTTACTATTTACTATTCACTATGAATATTAACTATTATTTATTATTTATTATTTATTATTTATTAATTATTATTTACCATTTATTATTTACCATTTATTATTTATTATTTACCATTTATTATTTACTATTTACCGCTTATTATTTATTATTTACTATTTATTGATTATTATTTATTATTTACTATTTATCATTTACTATTTACTATTGATTATGAGTTTGGTATTTAGGACAAACCAGCATAAAATATTGCTGGTCTGAAGTGCAGGAGGGGTCAAATATAAGCCGTAAGGAAATTTTCAAGGGGAAAAGGCAGTGCTGGAGCAGAGTGCTCCGAGCAATGATCCCTCTCTGTCCCCTAGAGAGAAGCTCAGCTGTCAAACTTGGAGCAAAAGGCACGGAGAGCAGAGCTCCTCCCGAAAGTGAGTTGAAACGACTCCACGTTGAACCAAATCCCTTTTATTTTTCTCCTTTATCGCCTTTCTACCAAAGGCCGCCCGATGAATTTCACCCCGTGAATTTCGGTTTCTCAGCTCCCCAGGGAAATGGAATCCGAGCCTCTAGGAAGGGTCTCGGGTGGGAGATGAAGCTCAGCCTCTATAAAAAAGCACTCCAAAACACCATCTCCTCCTCCCAGTCTTCCTTCAGGAAAGCAGGTCAGTCCTGGAGGGGCATCACTGGGACTTCCTCCCATCCCTAAAACCCGGAGTTTTCATTTTTCCCCCCCCGTTTCTCTCCAGTGAGCAGGAACTGGGCTGCCTCAGGGTTCAGATTTGTTCTGCCTTTGTACAAATCCCCAAAATCCTATTCTGGGGCCAGCAAAGGAGCCATGTGTCCTCTGAAGCACCTGGGGATCCTTCCCCCACCTGGCTGCTTTCAGAAGTTAAAACGATCCAAATTTGCATCATTTTGTGGAAGTGAGTGGGTTTTTCCTCATGTTCTTTTCTTCTGTAAGTTTTCTCTATTTAATTTATATCTTTTGCTGGTTGGGGCATCTGGTTGATAGCTCAGCTTTGACTGCACCGACCTCCTGTTATCTTAAAAAGCTTTTCTTTACCTGGAATACATTTTAATTTATCAATTATTTCCTTGCCTTCACATTATTAGTTTGTTTTGGTTTTTTTAACTCATTTTTTGGGCATTTTGAAAAGCAAGAGAGAATTTTGTACCCTGAGAGTGCCAGGGCTCTGAGGTGCTGATGCCAACCTTGTTGCACACAGGGAGGTGGTGCACAGCCAGGAGAAGCTGGACGTGGTGGAAATTCTGGTCCTCCAAATTCCCCACCCGCTGCAAAGGAGGATTTTATCCGTGAAAAGGGTGAGTGTTGGCTTTGTGGGCACTGCTGGGACCCACAACTGTGTCACTGCAGGTGGGGAAGACACAGCCCCCACTGGAGGGTCTCAACACCCAACTGGGGGATGGTGAAAGGTTTTTCTCTGGTGTCAGGGTCAAGCTGAGTTTTGTCTTTTGGGTCAAAACCAGAAAACCTTTTACCGCTCCTGATCTGTTCCAAAAGTGCCCCATGCACTGGCCACACTTCTCAGGACTCTTACACCTTGCTTTAAGATAAAAGATGACCTAAATCAGGTCTGTCCCACCAATAAAATGTAATTTTTTAATGATGATGTTTCAGTGTTCCAAGAAATGGATTGAAAATTACTCCTGCAAGCACTGGCAGCTTTCCATATCTGCTCCTCCCATCTGGGTTTTCCTTTCAGGATTTCCTTCCAGCATCTCCACTCCAGCCGTGATTCCTTCTGATCCCACCAGAATTTCCGAGCCTGCGTTGTCCCAGAAACCCCCAGAGCTCGTGCAGAGCCCGGCTGTGCCCCGCCCAGCCTGATGCTGTGTTTCCAGGGCCGCAGGTTTTCTGCTCTCGGGAAACACCACAACAAACCCTAAACACTGCCCCAGCCTCCCTGGGGAGCTGAGCTGCTCCCGTAACTTCCCAGGAATTCCTGGCTGCAGCGGATCCAGCTGTGGATCCAGCTGCTGGCAGGGCTGAAAAGCAAAGCACGGACTTCCCTGTCCTGCAGAGTTTAAGCTCATTTCTTTTGAGAACCAAGGTACTTCGGATCTTACATTGTTTGATCTTTATATCTTGAGGGGTTTAAGCCCTTTCTTTAGCAAAATCTGCTTCTTGTACCAGCTCAAAGCTCCTTGAAGTTTTATTTTTATGCCAGGAAGATAAAGCCACGTGTGGGCCGGGCACCTCTGATCTCCTAAGGTAAAGGAGCCACTTCTGCTTTCCAGAGGGAGGGAGGCAGCTCTGTCCTGCTGTGAGCACATCAACCACACACAGACACAGAATTGCAACTCCTGAATATCCTCCCCACCCTGCAGATCCCCAACTCCTAAATATCCACCCTGCAACAGAGGGACGGGGAAAGTCGTGTGTGTTCTTTCGGCTGTCTACCCCAATTTTGTCCTGTAAAGAGATGAAACTCCCAAAGCCTTTCTGGGTTTTTATTTCTATTTAGTAATAAATGGTAATGGTTTATAAAGGGCAGTGTGTGAATTCAATTCCCTGCTGTTTTCTCATCATATTTCATTCTCTTTTTCAAGAAGCAATCAGCTTTAAGGTATATCCTGGCAATGCTCAGATTCCACGTTCAGTCTCTATCACTCTGAACATTCATTTTCTAAATGCCATCCATGGCAAGTCAAAGTGGGTTATGTATTTTTAAAAAAAGCAGTAGAAGAGGAAAGCAAACCCATGCAGGACTGTGTTTCTGGGAAGTGGTCTGGAAAAGGCAGCTGGAGTCACACCTCCCTTAACCCCACTCAGCCACCCCAGGACTGAGCCCTGCTGCCCCTCAGCTGTGTCTCAGCCCAGGCAGAGCCAGGGCTCAGCCCCAGGAGGTTTTGGCAGCTGAGGCAGAGTTTCTGTGGAAATCCTGGAGCAGCTCCAGCAGCTCCAGCGCTGTTTTTGCTGGCAGGTTTTGCCGGACACCTCCCGCTGCCCCAGCCCTGCAGCAGCTCTGCTCAGGCTGCTCCCCTGTGCTGCCAGCAGCTGCTCGGGCTGATTTCTGCGCTGCAGGGAGGGATGGCAGAGCCAGATAAAGCCGGGGGCCCTCGGTGGCCGGGCGGGCACAGAGCCGCTATCGTGGGGCTCAGCTGCCGCTCGGTTCCTGGGGAAAACAGGGCAGAAATGTGGGTGCAGCAGGGGCAGGGCTGAGCCTGTGCCCGGGCACGGGGTGCAGATGTCTCCCGCTCTCTCCTGAAGCAGAAAACAGCCTGGCTCAAGGGTTCAGCCCGTGAGCCAGAGCATCTCGCCGAGCTGCAGCTCTTGGTTCTGTGGGGAACCACTCCCTGCGGGGGCTCGGCAGGAGCCTTTGCCAAAAACCTTTCAGCATCTTCCTGCCCCGTGCCAAAGTCACTGCCCTAAGCTAATACAGGAGAATTCCCCAGAATTCAAAGGTAGGGCTTTTTTCCTGTTAACAGATTCCTTTTGCCTTATGCAGCCACCATCCCCCTCAGGCCAGTGAGCTGTAAAAGTGGAGCCAGGGTATCTCCATGGAATTTGTCACCGTGTTTACAAGTGTTCCAAAGGAATGAGTTATCCAAGGTGCTGGATTCCTCCCTTAGGAAAACACCTCTGCGTCTCAGGGCAAACGCCTTTGTAACATCTGCTTGGAGCTTAAATTGCATGGGAAAGGAAAATAAAGTGGAAATTAAAAAATAAAAACAAAGTAAAAGGGAAAAGTTCGAGCTTCTCAGTGGAAACATCGCTGTTTCCTGGATAACAAAGGGAAGCAGGAAGGTGCAGGTCGGCAGCTGCTGGCTGCCCCTTCCTCGGACTGGGACATTCCCCTTCCTGCCCTTTTTGGTTCGGGTCTTTTCCTTCGGGACTTGGCAGCTTTGGAGGGAGGGGGGCCTTTCCTGGGAGGCGCAGAGTGACCCTGAGAAGGCGAGGCTGAGACAGGAGGTGTCAGGGGATGATGCCAGGGCTCACTGGCGGAGCAGGCACCGCTCACCCCGGGTGTTCCACACCCAACCCAGCTCCCACCGCACTGGCGGATTTCGTCAGAGCCTTCCCGGAGCTGGGCTGAGCTGGACGGGAGGGGCTGGCGGGGGCTCCGTGGAGCTCGGAGCGGCCCTGCGAGAGTGGCTGCGCTGCCCGGGCAGTGCCGGGGCAACCGCGATGGGCTCCGGCTGCTGCTGCTCGGTCCTGCCGCTGCTGCTGCTGCTGGTCCTGCCTGTGGTGTGGGGTGAGCCCCTGGGGAGGGGAGGGGTGGGGTGGGCGGGGAGCCTGGCACCCTGGGGCACCAGTGGGTGTTCCGTGGGTGCGGGAGGGTTCTCCATGGGAAAGTGCGTTATCCACGGGAGTGTGCATTATCCATGGCAGTGTGTGTTATCCACAGCAGTGTGTGTTAGCCACGGCAGTGTGTGTTATCCACGGCAGTGGGCGTTATCCACAGCAGTGTGTGTTCTCCACAGCAGTGTGTGTTATCCTCAGCAGTGTGTGTTATCCACATTAGTGTGTGTTATCCACAGCAGAGTGTGTTATCCACAGCAGTGTGAGGTATCCACAGCAGTGTGTGTTAGCCACGGCAGTGTGTGTTATCCACGGCAGTGGGCGTTATCCACAGCAGTGTGTGTTCTCCACAGCAGTGTGTGTTATCCTCAGCAGTGTGTGTTATCCACATTAGTGTGTGTTATCCACAGCAGAGTGTGTTATCCACAGCAGTGTGAGGTATCCACAGCAGTGTGTGTTAGCCACGGCAGTGTGTGTTATCCACGGCAGTGGGCGTTATCCACAGCAGTGTGTGTTCTCCACAGCAGTGTGTGTTATCCTCAGCAGTGTGTGTTATCCACATTAGTGTGTGTTATCCACAGCAGAGTGTGTTATCCACAGCAGTGTGAGGTATCCACAGCAGTGTGTGTTAGCCACGGCAGTGTGTGTTATCCACGGCAGTGGGCGTTATCCACAGCAGTGTGTGTTCTCCACAGCAGTGTGTGTTATCCTCAGCAGTGTGTGTTATCCACATTAGTGTGTGTTATCCACAGCAGAGTGTGTTATCCACAGCAGTGTGAGGTATCCACAGCAGTGTGTGTTAGCCACGGCAGTGTGTGTTATCCACGGCAGTGGGCGTTATCCACAGCAGTGTGTGTTCTCCACAGCAGTGTGTGTTATCCTCAGCAGTGTGTGTTATCCACATTAGTGTGTGTTATCCACAGCAGAGTGTGTTATCCACAGCAGTGTGAGGTATCCACAGCAGTGTGTGTTAGCCACGGCAGTGTGTGTTATCCACGGCAGTGGGCGTTATCCACAGCAGTGTGTGTTCTCCACAGCAGTGTGTGTTATCCTCAGCAGTGTGTGTTATCCACATTAGTGTGTGTTATCCACAGCAGAGTGTGTTATCCACAGCAGTGTGAGGTATCCACAGCAGTGTGTGTTAGCCACGGCAGTGTGTGTTATCCACGGCAGTGGGCGTTATCCACAGCAGTGTGTGTTCTCCACAGCAGTGTGTGTTATCCTCAGCAGTGTGTGTTATCCACATTAGTGTGTGTTATCCACAGCAGAGTGTGTTATCCACAGCAGTGTGAGGTATCCACAGCAGTGTGTGTTAGCCACGGCAGTGTGTGTTATCCACGGCAGTGGGCGTTATCCACAGCAGTGTGTGTTCTCCACAGCAGTGTGTGTTATCCTCAGCAGTGTGTGTTATCCACATTAGTGTGTGTTATCCACAGCAGAGTGTGTTATCCACAGCAGTGTGAGGTATCCACAGCAGTGTGTGTTAGCCACGGCAGTGTGTGTTATCCACGGCAGTGGGCGTTATCCACAGCAGTGTGTGTTCTCCACAGCAGTGTGTGTTATCCTCAGCAGTGTGTGTTATCCACATTAGTGTGTGTTATCCACAGCAGAGTGTGTTATCCACAGCAGTGTGAGGTATCCACAGCAGTGTGTGTTAGCCACGGCAGTGTGTGTTATCCACGGCAGTGGGCGTTATCCACAGCAGTGTGTGTTCTCCACAGCAGTGTGTGTTATCCTCAGCAGTGTGTGTTATCCACATTAGTGTGTGTTATCCACAGCAGAGTGTGTTATCCACAGCAGTGTGAGGTATCCACAGCAGTGTGTGTTAGCCACGGCAGTGTGTGTTATCCACGGCAGTGGGCGTTATCCACAGCAGTGTGTGTTCTCCACAGCAGTGTGTGTTATCCTCAGCAGTGTGTGTTATCCACATTAGTGTGTGTTATCCACAGCAGAGTGTGTTATCCACAGCAGTGTGAGGTATCCACAGCAGTGTGTGTTAGCCACGGCAGTGTGTGTTATCCACGGCAGTGGGCGTTATCCACAGCAGTGTGTGTTCTCCACAGCAGTGTGTGTTATCCTCAGCAGTGTGTGTTATCCACATTAGTGTGTGTTATCCACAGCAGAGTGTGTTATCCACAGCAGTGTGAGGTATCCACAGCAGTGTGTGTTAGCCACGGCAGTGTGTGTTATCCACGGCAGTGGGCGTTATCCACAGCAGTGTGTGTTCTCCACAGCAGTGTGTGTTATCCTCAGCAGTGTGTGTTATCCACATTAGTGTGTGTTATCCACAGCAGAGTGTGTTATCCACAGCAGTGTGAGGTATCCACAGCAGTGTGTGTTAGCCACGGCAGTGTGTGTTATCCATGGCAGTGTGTGCTCTGTGTCTGTGCCCCACATCCCTGTCCCTGCATGTGCTCCCTGTGTGTGCCCTGCTCCCTGTGCCACCCTTTCCCACAGGCTCTGTGCGTGTCCTTTCTGCGTCCAAAAGCAGCAGAAGCTAAATCCCCGTTTATTTTCCCACAGGGGACTGCGGGCCACTGCCAAATATCAGCCACGCTGAGCCCCAGGGGGACACCAAAGAGCAGCAGAGCTTCAGTGTGGGCTCCACCGTGACCTTCAGCTGTGTCCCAGGTTACACCAAGCGCCCCTTTCTCTCCGACACCATCCAGTGCCTGACCAACTCCCGCTGGTCCAGCCTGCCAGAGTTCTGTGGCCGTGAGTGTTTCCCTTTCTCTGACACAAGGAGGGTGTGGGCTGCTTGTGGAAACACTCACAGCTTTGGCAGTTGCTGCCTCAGGGCTTTCCTCATCAACAGGATGAAGTGGTTGGGACACTTCTCTTGCTGCCCCTTTTTCCTACACTCCACCAAGGCTGTTGCCATGGGCTGGCACTTGAGTGTTGATGAAAAACAGAGGAACAGCTTGGGAAACACATGGAAAAGGGGAAGGACTGCAGGGGCAGAGCACTGAGTGACCGAAGGGTTAATCACGGAGGGAGGTTTGGCTTCGGGGATTTGGAAACTTCTCCAGTGAGAAGTGGCTGCACTTTCCCACCTCAGACAATTTCCCGGTGGATGTGGCCAGGGAGGAGGGCACTGTTTGGAGTATCCATGTTCTTAGTGAGGCTCATGCATTTTCCCTCAGATTTATATTTACAGTTGAAAGCAAAATATTGTTATTTTTGCTCAGAATTATATTTACAGTTGAAAGCAAAACTCTGTTACTTTTGCTGTGTAACTGGACATTTTGGTTGTCCCTGTGCTGATCAGGCAGCTGTCCCAGGCCACCATCTGTGAAATTTGCTTTGATATCACCGCAAGATCAAAGGCAGAATTTTTACGCCGTTAATACCACGGTGAGGTACATTTGTCGCCCAAGTCATGAAAACACCACAGGCCAGCCCCCCACCAGCACCTGTTTGGACAACTTAACGTGGACAGAAGTTCCTGAACTGTGTCAGAGTGAGTGTCTCCACGTCATTTCATTTTCTCCAAGGCCCTATTCCAAGTGCCACATCTGTATTTTTAAATTGCTCTTTTCTAATTACATTTAACATGAAATCATGCCTGATTTGACATTGCCATACTGCCATGAAAACTGAGTCTGTGGGGTTTTTCATTTCATTTTCAGTCTCATATTGTCCTAAGGACAATCTTATTCTTTTTTAGAGAAATCTTGTGGTATTCCAGCCAATCCAGAACATGGCCAAGTTATGGCAAAAGATCATCAGCTGGGAGCAATAGCCAATGTGGTTTGTGACCGTGGGTGAGTGTGAAACCACTGCCCACTGCATCCCAGTTGTCTGGTCAGGGTCACTGGGGCATGAACTGGGACATGGGGCTCTGCCCATAGAGTCCTCAGCACCTCTGTGGTGACACAGCCTTGGTTGGTGACAACAAGCGGATTTTGGGATGTGCCTTTGGCCCCGCAGGTACAGATTGGAGGGAGCGTCACCTTCCATCAGGTGTTTCCTGCAGGGAGACAAAGCTGTCTGGAGTCCTCTTCCAGCTTGTCAGGGTGAGTGAAGTTGTGCAGTGCTCGACTGGAACAACCAAATATTCCAACTCAGAACACTGAACTTTTGGTTTGCTTCACTAAGTGGAGTCAGGCCAGCATCTCTGCAAGGGGGGAGCTGCTGTCACAAGGCAGGACATCACTGGTTCCTCCTGCCTGTGAAGGCCTGACAGGAACAGTGTCCCCCCAGGCTGCTGAGAGCATCCCAGGGGTCACCTCCTGAGTTCTTCTCTCTGTCTCCCACAGTGATTTCCTGTCCCCCTCCTCCAGCCATTGCTCACGGGCAGCACAGTGGGAACAGCTCGCAGGAGTTTGTGTTCGGCTCCATCACAACCTACACGTGTGAGCCGGGGCTGGAGCTGGTGGGACAGGACACCCTGCGCTGCACCACGGACAGCGGGGACAGTGGCACCTGGAGCGGGGTCCCTCCCACCTGCCAGGGTGAGCATCATCCCCTCCTCACAATCATCCCTTCTTCACAATCATCCCTCCTCACAATAATCCCCTCCTCACAATCATCCCCTCCTCACAATCATCCCCTCCTCACAATCATCCCCTTGCCCAGCACTCTGCTCCTGCTGGGCTGATAATTGCTCCTAATTCCATCCTGCACGGGCATTCAGTAGGGTTTGCTTCCAGGGGAGCAGCATCTGCTTTGCAAGGTGCCAGGCTCTGCTGAGGAACAGCGGGAGCAGAGCCAGACGTGGTTTTACATTTTCCCTTCAAGAGGAACAGGCAGAAATGTAATGAACAGGGTGTGAAATGTGTCAGTGACTGCAGAGCTGGCGGAGGGAACTTAGAAGGGATTTATGTCGCGTGTCCAACAACACCCAGGCATTAAATCCAGGTGGAACAGCAGAATCCCCTCTGTCCTTAATGCCTGGAGGGGCACAGAGGCCCCTGCCACAACCTGAGCTGCACATGTCACCTGCCCATGTGATGTTTACTCCTCTCTGAACTATTTTATATATTATGTACAAGTTGAGCACCAGCTAAAATAACATTTTGAGCGCTTTTCCTTTGTCTCTCCCTAGTTAAAACCACAGCAGAGACAAACCAAACCAAAGCCTCAGAAGAGAATCCTTACTGGCTGGGTAAGAGCTCCATTACTTAGAAGTCCTGTTAATTGCTGTAATTGCATCACATTTTGGGCTTCATATTTTTAACATCCATTTCATTATTTTCCTCCCCAGCAAGCATCCTCATTCCAAGCTGCATTGGTAAGTAGCTTAAAATCCAAAATGTATTTGGATTTCCTACCCCAAAGCTGTTTGCTGTTAAAGACCTGAAGTCAAAGGTTGATTTCACTCTCCCTTTCCCTTCTTTGTCAGTTCCCCCAGTAGTCCTTGGACTTCTTGCTGGGGTCATCATGAGCCGGAAAGAGAGTGAAAAGCAGTAAGTGACTGTCCCTTGTAAATTGTGACTTTCCCTGGGGATAAGTGGATTTTTCTTTTCAAGCCCTGTACCTTCAGGATATTTGCATGGTTAGCAGAATTTTACCATGTTGCTAAGTTTCTTTTTATTCTAAAAATTTCCTCCTGTCTGTCTCTTCAGCTCTTATAATGTGAATTTACAAAAGCACGAGATGAAGGGAAGGGATGCAGCCATGCACCTGGAGGTTACAGATGAGAAGAAGCAGCCCAAGCCCTGGAATTCCTATTTTTGGTAGGTTTGCTCATTCACCTGCCCAAAAATCGGTGCCAGACTTCTGCCTATAGCCAGGGGTGTCACTGCTGCTGAGCTCACCTGTGCAGAACACCTTGGAGCAGGTTTTGACTTTCCCACACCACGATGAACACGCTGCTGTCCCGAGGGTGTTTCACAGGAGGGTTTGGGTTTTGCTGGCTGCTCTCTGGATGGATTTCCCCCGTCTCTCTCATCCACAGCCACGCAGGGAACTGCCACGTGTGTCCCAGCTGTGAGGAGCAGCTCCACGGTGACCTGGCCCCTCTCTCAGAGCCCACACGCCCCGGCTGCACCGTCTGCCAGGACTGGCTGAGCTCCCAGCCCCAAAAACCCCGCACCTACTCGGTCCCCAGCATCGGTGATGGGGACAGGCAGAGCCCAGCAGGCACCAGGTACAGCCCCCAACAGGAGCTCGCTCCTTCTCCCCTCCACACACCCCTGGGAGGCAAAACAATGGCAAAGGGGGAGGAAGCACCTTTATGTGGATAAAGTGAGTTTTGCAGCTGGAATTCCTGTGGTTCCTGTTTTAGCAGGAGCAAGGGTTTGATATTTAGGGAACAGTGGCTGTGTTTTCGGAAAGCCACACGCTCAGGTTGTCCTCTCTCTGTGTTCAGCCCTCCTGCCAAAGCTGGGGATGTGCTGAGGGGAAATGGCACAGAAGAAGCTGCTCCATGGTGGAGTGAGGCAGAGCAGCCCAGGGACCACCAAAGGTCAGTCCTCCACCTAAAAACACCCAAAAGCCACCGTGGGCCTGGACAAATATCAGCAAATTTCATATCAGGGTAGAACGGTGTTCATCAGAGAATCCCAGAATGGTTTGGGGTGGAAAGGACCTTAAAACTCATCTCATTCCCAGCCCCTGCCATAGGCAGAGACACCTTCCACTATCCCAGGTTGTTCCAAGCCCCAGAAACGTGGCCTGGAAGGCACACCCATGCTCTCAGTGCACATCCTGAGTGGTTCTTCTCCACAGTGAGCACATCTGTCCCATCTGTGAGAGCTGGCTCCGTGCCCACACTGGCCAGGGTGGCAGCAGGGCTGTGACACCGGGGGACTGGCAGGACAAGAGGTGAGTGTGGCCAGGGCAGGCAGCTCCTCTCAGCACTGCAGTGTGTGCCCAGTGCCCTCCAAACTGACAGCTCTCTGCTTCACTTGAAACAAGAATAGGTGGGAGCTGCTCCTAGCCCTGTGTTAGGGTGGGAGTGTGGTGCCTGCTCAAGCAGAGATGTGAAAATGGGAGAGGTTTATTCAGATAATAAAAACACAGTGGGGTTTCTGTGGGTGTCTCTGGAGCAGCCTGTGCTCCTCAGCTGTGCTCACCTGGCTCGGCCTCGTGTTCTTTGGAGCTCTGCTTTTAAGAACCCTGCAGTGGGAGCCTCTTTTCACCACTGCCCAGTGCTTTTCCCTCCTGTGGCTGTGGGTCATTTGCTCGTGGTGAGGAGGTTTTGGGCCAGAGCAGTGATAAGGTAAAACTGCTCAGTTTATTTGTTTATCTCCTGACCCTCGCCCATGCAGGTCTGGTGCTCTCTCAGGCCAGCAAAGCTTCCTTAACAGCCAAATTCTTATGACAAACAAGATAAACACGGTTTGGCATGTGCATCTGCTTGCTTTGGCTTCAGGAAGTGTGAACTCCTCGCTGCTGCATTTGTTTTGGGGTTTTTCCATTTATTCCTGTTAGTGCCTGTGCCACTGGCTGTGGGCCCCAATCCTGGGGGAGCTGGTCCAGGTCTGCATTCTCGAATCACTGCTTATTTCAATTTAAAAAGGGAAGTTGTGAAGGAAAGCAGCTTTTGTGGGTGCTGGAGCCTGGGCAGGGTGGTTTGGAGAGGGGCAGGTCCTGTCAGGGCTCACCCTCACCTCTCTCCCCACAGCCCACAGCGCCCAGTATGCCCTCCCTGCACGGACTGGCAGCTGCTGTCCCTTGTCCACGGGGACACAGCCAGCAGCCCCGTGTGTCCCCTGGCCGGGGAGGACACCCTGAGCCACCTGGTCCCTGTGCAGAGCCCCGGCTGCCACGTCTGTCCCGTGTGCTCGGTGCCCAGCCACGCTCACCTGTGCAGCCCCCGCGCCTGGCGGCCGCAGGTAGGACCCAAACGGGACCCCCCAAACACCCCCAGCTCCCTGGGGAGGGGAGGGGGCTCCATAAACCCTCCCCAGGCCCAGGGGCTCCCCCTGACCCCCTCCTGTTTCCCTCTGCAGGACAAACCCGGCAGCTGAGGAGGGAGGGGAGCTCCAGCCCCAATCCCCGCTGCTGGCAGGGGTTTGGTTCCCAGTGCAATAAAAGGACCTGAAATCAAAACTCCGGCTCCACCTGAGCTGGCAACGAAGCAGAAAAAACACTTTTATACCCACTTCTATACCCACTTTTATACCCACTTCGATACCCACTTTTATACCCACTTTTATACCCACTTTTATACCCACTTTTATACCCACTTTTATACCCACTTTTATACCCACTTTTAATGCCCACTTTTTTGTTTATTTTTGTATGAACAAAGTATTTTTGCAGCTCTTAAAGCGAGATGTTAAAAAGTCAGTAAACGTTTCTTTGAGCTGGGAAAAGAATTTAATCTTTGCACAATCTTACGAGATTTATTTGTACTTCTTGAACTGCGTTTTTTTTTTAACTGAGGTTCTTGTCCTAGTGTGCAGATGAAAGTGCAAAATTTACATTATTTATAGTAAAACTGTTTTATAAATAAAAGGAATGTAAAATAAGGAATCCTGGCTCTGGGGTTAATTTTGTATTTGATTACTAATTAAATTAACTAATAATTAATAAATAATAAACTAATCAATTAGATTAATTCAATTTAATTTAAAATAATTAAAATAAAAAATAAAATAATTAATTATACATTTATATAAAAGAATATAATATATATAAATATAATGTAAATATAAATATATAATGCATAATATATAATGCATAATACATAATATATATTATATATATTATATTATATATTATATATATTATATATATTATATTATATATATTATATATATTATATATTATATATTATATATTATATATAGTATATATTATATAATATTAATATATATATGATATACTATATAATATTAATATATATATTATATATTATAATATATATTATATATTATAATATATATAATATATATTATATATTATTATATATATATAATATATATATATAATATATATATAATGGATGCCCTGGATTTGTCTGGCTGATGGAAAGGCCACGCTGAGGTGTTGGTGTCCTTCCCTGGCCATAACTCAGCCTGGCTAAAGGATCACTGGATAAGCTGAAGAGGTGCCAGAAAATGGAGCTCAGACTGGCAGATTTCCTGTTTAGAAGGGAAACACCACTGTTTGGTGGAATTTTGACTGGCTAAGCTTGAGTCACTCAGACTTTTAGCTGCTGGGAAAGCAAAACATTGAGGTTTGGGGTTTTGTCTGCTGCAGAGGTAAATCACCCATCTGGGAGCTTCTCATGACGCGCACTTGGGAACAGGAACCATCCAAAATGCGTCTACTACAGACCTTTGGTTTCCCCACTTCCCCCAGTGCCTTCCTGCTGGCAGGAACGAGCCTTTAATAAGAAGGAAACCCACAAATAGCCATTTCCATCCACACATCAGCCTTGTTCCAAACAAACCCCCAAGTTCTCCCTTCCCAGCAGAGCACTGTCCTGTCCAGCTGTCTCAGCCTTGCAGAACAAGCACTTTGCTGGTTATTTTTATTTCTCTCTTACTGGAAGCCATGTGAGAGACTAAATGGACTAAATACAACCTAAGCCTCGCAGCTCTGGGTTGTGTTTGGGTTTGCTATTTTAATCCCATTTATTCCTACTGCGTAGTCCAAAGTGATTTTTTTTTTCAATTGATTTAACATGTGATTTGGGGATCAGCTTGGAATTATCTCCCCACAATCCAATGAAAGGAATTGCAAATGCTGAAACATCATTTACAGGTGTGATCACCAAAATTTACCATTGCAGAGTTTTTACTGTATTTGTAATAAATTCTACCTGATTTTTCTTTATAATCTGGGTGCAAACGACCAAGTGCAATTCCAAAGGGTGAATGTTGGATTTGTAAGGATTGGAATATCTCTGTCAATAGAAGAGATAAAAGCAGTTTGTGTCTCGCTGCCTGTTTTAGGCTCAGAAAGTGTCACCTATGTGAGGTGAGGAGCTGGAACGGCTGGGGCTGCTCCTTCACCAAAAAGTTCTGTCTGGGGCCTTTATTCTTGCTGCCAGTGGTGAGGGATGAGCCCAGGGTCGGATCAGAGGGATCTGTGTCCACAGCTGCTCTGGTTTTTATGGGAGGAGGGAATGCCCCACTCTGCCGCTCCCATGCCTGGGCAGGTGAATTGTGCCATGTCCCTCAGGTGCCACCACCATCACCTGGGGCTCTGGGACAGAGCTGGGACACTTCCCCTGAGGATGCTCTGCACCGTGGGCACAGCTCCAGCACCTCTGCCTGCACCCAGCCCTTTTCCACCCCTCCTTCCACATCCTCCCCTGCCAAAAACAGCAGCGATGGCAGCCTGAGGCACCTGCGGCCTCCCCGGGGGTGCTGGCTGTGCCTGCATGTGCCGGGGAGCCCACAGTTCCTGTCCCACAGTCCTGGGAAGTCCCCCAGCAGCGTCTCCTTCCTCCCACGGGGGCACTGGGGGGAACTGGGGTGCCCATATCTGCCCCGCGCCCCCGGAGCCGCCGGCAGTGCCGGGGATGGTGCCCACCTTCACCCTCTGCCTGCTGGGCAGCTCCGCTCTGCTCCTCAGCACCGCGCCCGGGGCTCGAGGTAAGGCAGAGCAGCAGCTCTGCTCCTCTGGGGCCTTCCTCCCACGTCCCTCCTCCTCCTCACCGCTGCTCCTCTCCTCGCTGATCCCTGCGGAGGGAAATGGGAGCCCTGCGCTGGTCCCGGGTGGAGCTCGGCATCGCGGAGCCTCCGAGCTCTCCTGCTGATGGCAGAGACGCTCTGGGGTCATCAGAGCCGCAGCCGGGACCCCCAGGCCGGGCTGGGCACCCCCAGCGAGCCCCCGGCCCAGCCCTGTGCTCCTGGCAGCACCGATCCTGGGGTGCTCCTGGCAGCACCGATCCCGGGGTGCTCCTGGCAGCACCGATCCCGGGGTGCTCCTGGCAGCACCGATCCTGGGGTGCTCCTGGCAGCACGGATCCTGGGGTGCTCCTGGCAGCACCGATCCCGGGGTGCTCCTGGCAGCACCGATCCTGGGGTGCTCCTGGCAGCACCGATCCTGGGGTGCTCCTGGCAGCACCGATCCTGGGGTGCTCCGGGTCAGTCCCGCACTGCTGCCGGGGATTTGTCAGCAAAGGTGGCAGAGGGGACCCCCGGGGGCACAGGGAGGGTCCTGCGACCCCAGGGGCCCCCACCCCAGCTGCACCGACACCATCACGGCAGGAACCTGTGCAGGCGAACATTTCTCTCCCTTTTCCAGCTGCCCTGTGCCCGTTCCCACGTGTCCGGTACGGGACGGTGTCCCCTCGTCGCTATTCCTACAGGACATGGGACACGGTGACCTTCACCTGCAGCCCGGGATACGCTCTGCGAGGCTCCGGCAGCAGCACCTGCGGAGCTGGCTCCAGGTGGGACCCCCCTCCTCCAGAGTGCAGGAAAGGTGAGAATCCCAGCGGGGTGAGCAGCGCCGGCCGCGGGCAAAGCTCCCTCTTGTGTCCTCACACATTCGGGGGAAAGGCAAAGCCGGCATGGATCTGTCCCGGCTTCCCTGCTCCAAGCAGAGCTGCCAGCTCGGCTGGCAGAGACACAAACAGCCCCGGTGGAACACGCTGGGCTGGGACGGGGGGATGGATGGCTGTGCCCTGGCTGGGGCTCCGAGAGAGATGGGGAGAAGCGAACCCCGTGAGATGACAGGATCTGAATCCCGCGGGGATTTCTGACTCTCTGGGCAGATGTGGGGCATTTCACCTTCACTGTGGAATGGAAGTAATCATAATTATGCCCTGCTTCCATGTCAGTGTGGCTCCCTGCCAAATCCTGTGATGCACCCGCAGTCCTGTCGGGGCTGTCATCACTGACAGGAATTTCTGGCAGGTGCAGCTGCACCTTTAGTGAATTAAAGCCTCGATCCAGCAAATGGCACACAGAGCAGAATCCAGGATATCACCCTGGCAGCACACAAAGCAGCAAAGAGCAGACCCACAGGCCGTTCCCTTCCCTCTGCAGAGCTGAGCTGTCCTCGGCCACCGAGCATCGCCAATGGGCTGCACAGCGGACACTCCCGGGCCAGCTTTCCCCGGGGAGTGACCGTGTCCTACAGCTGCAGCGAGGGCTTTCAGCTGCTCGGGAATGCGTCCATCACCTGCACGGACTCCGGGCTCTGGAGCCGGCCCCTGCCCCGCTGTGAAGGTGTGTGGGTGCCTCGCTCCCGGCTGCCGGGTGTCCTGTGCGATCAGAGCAGCCGGCTCACGGCAGTGGCGGCAGGAGGGGGCTCTGTGTGTGCAGGGTGCAGCTCACGCAGTGACATTAAAAGGACTCTGTTCCCACAGCGATCGGCTGCCAGGTACCCGAGGTGCAGAACGGGAACGTCTACAACCCCCAGAGCACCTACAGAGCTGGAGAGACTCTGCTGTTTGACTGCGATGCTGGATACAGCTCAGAGGACACCGCTGAGGCTCGGTGCCAGCCCGGGGGCACCTGGGACCCGCCGCTCCTTGTCTGCCAGAGGGGTGAGTGCGGCTTCTGCCCAGGAGCCGGGGCTGCAGCAGGAACGGGGGCTCAGGCAGGGATTTAACCCAGCAGCGCAGCATCGCTCTGGCTGCCGTCCCCTCGTTCCCTGCTCTGTCGCTGAATTAAATTTCCCATCTCCATCTCGCAGTCCGGCCGTGCCCGATGCCTCCGGAGGTCGCCAATGGAAACCACAACGGGCAGGACAAAGCGTTTTTCTCGGCTGGGATGTCCGTGAGGTACAGCTGCCATCCCGGCTATTACCTGGTTGGAAATGCCGCTGTGTCTTGCAGAGCATCGGGGAACTGGAGCCAGCCCAGCCCTCGCTGTGAAGGTGAGTCCGGGCTCGGTCCCCTCGGGGACAAACACAGAGTGCCTCTGGGCACAGGGGACACCCTCACCAAGTCCACTGAGACCTTCAGTGAGAGACTGAATTCTGTTTTAATGAAATATATGGGTTTATAATGTGCAAAGAGCAAGTTAAGATCCCCGAACCCCGAGGCAGCCCCCTCCTCCCTGAGCTCCAGTCACAGCCTGGCTCCAGCGCTTCCACGGACGGTGACGGTGCTGAGACCAGGCACGGCCATGGGGGGACATCGCTTTTAGGGGGAAACCAGCTGAGTTTAAACGAATCATTTCAATACTCTTTGTCCAAAAAATCAGAGGAGAGACGAGACACCCAAAGGCTGCTGCAGGATGCAGCTGGCAGGACCAGGGGCTCGAGCTCTCTGTCCCCCCAAAGTCTGACATGCTGGAGGGTGGGGCTAAGCTGCTTCTCCAAAATCACCTCTCCCAAGTTCTCATGAGGTTTTCCCGTCGCTCTGCAGAGCTGAGCTGTCCTCGGCCACCGAGCATCGCCAATGGGCTGCACAGCGGACACTCCCGGGCCAGCTTTCCCCGGGGAGTGACCGTGTCCTACAGCTGCAGCGAGGGCTTTCAGCTGCTCGGGAATGCGTCCATCACCTGCACGGACTCCGGGCTCTGGAGCCGGCCCCTGCCCCGCTGTGAAGGTGTGTGGGTGCCTCGCTCCCGGCTGCCGGGTGTCCTGTGCGATCAGAGCAGCCGGCTCACGGCAGTGGCGGCAGGAGGGGGCTCTGTGTGTGCAGGGTGCAGCTCACGCAGTGACATTAAAAGGACTCTGTTCCCACAGCGATCGGCTGCCAGGTACCCGAGGTGCAGAACGGGAACGTCTACAACCCCCAGAGCACCTACAGAGCTGGAGAGACTCTGCTGTTTGACTGCGATGCTGGATACAGCTCAGAGGACACCGCTGAGGCTCGGTGCCAGCCCGGGGGCACCTGGGACCCGCCGCTCCTTGTCTGCCAGAGGGGTGAGTGCGGCTGCTGCCCACGAGCAGGGGCTGCAGCAGGAACGGGGGCTCAGGCAGGGATTTAACCCAGCAGCGCAGCATCGCTCTGGCTGCCGTCCCCTCGTTCCCTGCTCTGTCGCTGAATTAAATTTCCCATCTCCATCTCGCAGTCCGGCCGTGCCCGATGCCTCCGGAGGTCGCCAATGGAAACCACAACGGGCAGGACAAAGCGTTTTTCTCGGCTGGGATGTCCGTGAGGTACAGCTGCCATCCCGGCTATTACCTGGTTGGAAATGCCGCTGTGTCTTGCAGAGCATCGGGGAACTGGAGCCAGCCCAGCCCTCGCTGTGAAGGTGAGTCCGGGCTCGGTCCCCTCGGGGACAAACACAGAGTGCCTCTGGGCACAGGGGACACCGTTCCCAGTGCAAACAGATCCTCCAGAAGGGTTAATTCCATGTAAAGTGTATCATGGAATCGATTAAAGTCAAGCCTTCCTGCGGCTGGGGAGGTTTGTGTGGACATCACGCTGATTTTGTTGTTGAAACATCAACAGCCTGTGGATTTGTGTTTTCTTCTGCTCCTCCTGCCCACCCTCATTTCCAGGGACCGTCTGCATCAGTCCAATCGTAGCCAACGGAAGGCAAGTTGCTGGCCACGGACTCCTCTCTGCGCCCGGGCAAACGGTGACATTTCAGTGCCACGATGGTTACAGGCTGCGGGGCAGTGCCAGCGTGTCCTGCCAGGAGGATGGCAGCTGGCAGCCCCCTGCTCCTGTGTGTGACACAGCACTGCCTCACCAGGACACCTTCAGGTCTCCAGGTACACAACAACCTCAGGTTATTCTGATATTTCATGTCCCCTAATCCTGTTTAAAAAATGTTGTTAACCCCTTTGAGGGGAACATCTAAGAAATATGAACCTAATCCTCTGCAACCCTTTGGGAATATGAGTTTGTTTATTAATTTCTTTATTTATATTAATCAAAATAAACATTTTTGCAAGGCGAGCCCGACCCCTTTCCTCCTAGCAGTGCTCTTTGTGTGCTTGCCCCTGATGTGCCTGTCCTGCCAGGTTCTCATGTCTCTTTTCTCTCTCAATAGGTGCTTGTGGTGCTCCCACAAAGTTTCAGTTTGCTGAGCTAAATGAGGAGCATAGAAATGCCATTGATTTTTCTGTTGGGAAGACTGTGCAGTACACTTGTCGTCCTGGATATGCTAAAGTCCCAGGAATGTCACCTACTGTTACATGCCTTGAGAGCGGAGTGTGGTCAGAAGCACTAGAGTTCTGTAAAAGTGAATAGATCCTTGATTTGGTGTCTGTTGGTGCAGGAGGAACAGGTCCCAGGCTCTGTCCGTGCTGCCAAAACCTTGATGTTATTCTGAATGTGTGACTAGTAAAGCCATGTAACTCTCTGCTGTTGGAAACCAGTGTTGGGGGGAACTGGGAATGTGGGCAGGGGAATGGAGGAATAATTGCATATTTCATACTGTGGGGTAGAGAGACAGGAGCCTAAAATAAGGGTGTTTTCCTTTCCCAGGGAAACAGTGCAGTCACCCTGGTGAGCCTGTGAATGGCAAGATTATTTCCCTGACAGATCTCCAGATTGGATCTACAGTGGTTTACAGCTGTGAGGAGGGGTAAGTCCTGCTTTGGAGATGGATTAGGTGAGTGAACTAATCTGAACCCCTGTTCATTCACTCCCAGCAAATGGATTCTGCAGAGAAGCCCCAGTGCAGGGTTCTGTACCTACAGAGCACGAGGTGCTCACTGTTGTGCCTAAACACTAAAGTATATCTGTATTTATAGAGATACAGCCTATAAATACTGGGAAATGGGTGGGGCAGAGCAAGGAAGGAACCTCCCTGCAGGGCCACGGCTCTGCTGCCAGCAGGGCTGGTCCCACATCCCAGGGCTGAGGAGGAGCAGCAGCTGCAGAGGCTTGGGATGAATGACCAATCCTTCCACCACCAGGCACAGGTTGATTGGACAGTCCAGCAGACGCTGTCAGATCTCTGGGGGACGCGTTGCATGGAGTGGTGACGTTCCCCTCTGTCAGCGTAAGTAGCTCACGGCTCTGGGGGTTTGCACGGATCTGGGAAATATTTTCCAGCAGAGACTGCCACTTTGTCTGCTGATCAAGTAGTGTGGCTGATCAGGGGACAGCTTCACACGGAGAGAGAAACATTTGCTGGTACATTCTGGGGTTTTAAAGCATTTCCCAGACTCTCCTAGGTGTGACACACAGGTGACACACAGACTGTGCCTGTTGCACGTCTTGGCACCAGGATTTTACACCAGTGACACAAAATAAGCATTTGATTCCTTATTTCTTAAGAAGCAGGAAATGCAAAGCATGCAGGTGTTTCCTCCTCAGAGCTTTGATTACTGGCCCCGCTTTCCACCTGCCAACAAGGATTTCCATCTTTAGAACCAGCTTTTGTGTCCCACAGACTGAGGGATTTCAGGTGCTGCTGTTGAACTGAGAATCCTCGTTCTGCACCTCTGCAGGCATCCCTTGCGAGCCACCCCCGGACATCCCCAACGGGAAGCACTCGGGCCGGCTGCTGAGCGAGTTCCACTACGGCACCTCGGTGACCTACAGCTGTGACCCCGGCTTCCCTCTGCACGGGGAGCCCTCCATCCACTGCACCACCCGCGACGGCAGCAGCGGCGTGTGGAGCGAGCCCCTGCCGGCCTGCGGAGGTGGGGCTGGGCTGCACCTAGGGACCCCCAGAAATCCCCCAGAAATCCTCCCAGAGCTGCTGCTCCCCGTTGGGAATGACTGGGAAACTCTGGCCAGCTGGAACTTTTGCCCAAGCGTTTTCAAGGGCTGAGGCCAAGCAGAGTGGGGGAGGCTGGAGGGTCACCCCACTGCCCCAGGATCCCCTTTCTCCTTGGAGATGTTTGATATCGCAGGATGCGGGCACAACATCATCTCTAGGAAAATGATTTTCAGGCTTGCATCTTAAAATTGCAGCCCTTGGTGGCTTCACAGCCGCACAGCTCTGCCTGAGGACCCGTTTGGAGCACCCACACCTCTTTTCTTTTCCAGTGGCGAGTTGTCCGGTCCCACGGATCCAGAACGGGAGGATCGTGGCTCCCAGGTCTGCCTACGCACACAGGGACACGGTGACATTTGAATGTGACCCAGGCTATGCCATTCGTGGCCACAGAGAGCTCCAGTGCCAACCAAACAACACCTGGGAGCCGCCTGTGCCGGTCTGCGAGCCGGGCAAGTGTCCCACCAGGGCGTTAACCTTCCCCTGCTCTCCCAAATCCACCTTTCCTGGTTCTTTAACAGCTGGGCTGGCTCTGTCTCCCAGCAGCTGGCTGCAGAGCCCCTGCCAGGCTGGAGTTTGCCGAGCTGAAGGAGCCCTACAGGAAGCAGGAGGTATTTCCCGAGGGGAGCAGGGTGGAATTCGTGTGCCAGCCTGGCTACACCCAGCTCCCGGGGGTCTTGCCAGCCATCACCTGCCTCAGGAACCAGACGTGGTCAGCAGCGCTGCAGTTCTGTAAAAGTACGTCCTGCAAGTGCTGGGAACCTGAAGTGTGAGGCTTGGCTGGTTTTCCATGTTTGCCCAGCTCTGTGGGTTTCTCTGCCTGCTCTCTGTGGTGGCAGCCCTGGCTGAGGAGGCTGTGCTCCCTTCCAGGGCAGCAGTGTCCCAGCCCAGGGGACCCAGAGAATGGCAGAGCTGTTGTCCTCACAGATCTCCTCCTCGGCTCCAGAATTAATTACACTTGTGACAAAGGGTGAGTCTTGCCCTGCTGAGAGGGAAATGGATTTTCAGCTTTACACAACCCTGTTCCCAAGTCAGAACTCTTGCCTGCCACTTGCAAGGGTTGTAAAGAAATCTCAAGGCAAGAAACCTCACTGTTAAATTAATGAATCCTTCTGTGTGGTCCAGGTACAAGCTGGTGGGAGGCTCCCAGAGAATTTGTGAGGTCTCTGGCACAGGTGTCTCGTGGAGTGGGGATCCTCCTGTCTGCCAGCGTAAGTAGGCCACCACAGCAGGCCCTTGGAGATGGTTTACAAGATAAAGTAAGATTTCTTTCAAGCCAAAAGTTTTGTTGCAAAAGATTTCTCAAGTCACTGAATGTGTTAAATATTTCCTTTTTCTTTCCATTTTGTTTTGGATCTGCTTCTGAAAATAGTTTCAAAGGTGTTTTATTTCTTCTGGTCCAAACTGGGAGGAAACATTAATATTTTAAACTCCCTGTTGGTGGGTAAGTATTCCTCACTGGCCAGTCTCTCTCGCTGTGTCACTGGTAGTTATGGAAAGTGAGGTAAGAATTGTCCCAGCACCTCCAGACACGGCCAGCAAGGAAGTGACTCACAGGAGGGGACAGATTTTAATTCCCACGTGTGTTTTCTTTCCATGCAAAGTTTGTTCCTGGAGCATTGGGGTCATTGTGTCACTGCTGAGGTGGTTTCCTCTCCATCAGCGCCCTTCCTGGGCAGAGGGTGTGCCCGCATTCCCCTTGTGACCGTGCCCTTGTGCTGCCCACAGGCATCACCTGCGCTCCCCCCCCGGCCATCCCGCACGGGACACACAGCGGGGGCTCCAGGGACACCTTCTCCTTCGGGGACGTGGTCACCTACACCTGCAGCTCGGGGCTGGCCCTGGCTGGAGACGCCTCCCTGTCCTGCAGCTCTGCGGACGGGCAGCGCGGCACGTGGAGCGGGGCAGTGCCACGGTGCCAAGGTACGGCTCGGGGTGTGCCCACAGCCAGCTCTGCCTGTCCCCCTGCCCATGGGGACACAAGTGATTTTATTTCTTCACAGCAGTTCATGTCAGTGTTCAGAACGACTCAGAGCATTTACGATTTTTTTAATCGTTTTTCTACGCATAAAATGTTTATTTGAGCAGCGCTTTAATATAACAGCGTTTTCTTTTTGATGCTGACGGGGAAGTACTGTTATTGCTTCAGTTTTCATTACAACTTAATCTGATTTATTACTTCTGAAACTGTTCTAAAAACCAGGATGTTGTTCTCTGATGGAGAAAAGAGCTAAGGAGAGCTTCTGGAAAAGTTACATATCACCTTGTCCTGACTGATTGCACTTGTGTTGTCTCCCTCCTTTGCTTTCAGAAGGTTGGATTTTTGGAGGTTTTCTTGCCCTGTCCCTATTTCTCACGCTCCTTTTGTTGTCCCTGGCAGAGGTGAGGTGTCCTGCCCCCCCCAGCATTGCCAATGGGCAGCACAGTGGCAGCCCCGGGGCCAGGCACAGCCCGGGCTCCGAGGTGCTGTACACCTGCGCCGAGGGTTATTCCCTGCTCGGGAACGCCTCCATCCGCTGCACCGCCAGGGGAACCTGGAGCCGGCCCCAGCCCCGCTGCCAAGGTGTGTTTGTGGGATTTCTGCCTGTCCCTGGGCTCCTTCTTGGCTCTTGGTTTAATCGCTGCAACCAAATCCCCAGGGAGAGGCAGAGACCAGCGGTGCCACGGGCAGGAGCAGCCCCGTGTGCCTCTGTGGGTTTCCCTTTCTGTTCCTGCTGAGCACAAACGCTCAGGAACAGCTGAATAACGATATTTTGTGTAAGAACAAGAGTCAGTAATGTTGAAATGCCCGTGACAGTGATGGCCAGGCCCAGCAGCAGGTGCTGTCCCTCCACAGCCAGGAGGGGTTTCACATCCTCAGCTCTTCACCTCCTCGTGCTCTTCCCTTCCAGCAACCGGCTGCACCAAGCCGGAGATTGAGAACGGAAAAGCGACTGGCTTGGAGACCACCTACAGGCTGAAGGACATCATATTCTTCGAATGCAACTTTGGTTATGCCTTGAAGGGCTCTCAAGAGTCTCAGTGCCAGTTTGGGGGCAAGTGGCACCCTCCTGTCCCCACCTGTGAGAAGCGTAAGTGCACATGAGGGCCAGGGTGGTGGCTGATTTCTGAGCCTCTGTGTAGCCAGCTCTTGGCTAGCTGGGACTGTTCCTCCTCCCTGCAGTGCTGCCGTGTCCTCCCCCTCCAATTATCAGAAACGGCCAGCACGACAGCAAGGGTGTGACAGAGTTCATCCCTGGCACGTCAGTGAAGTACAACTGTGAGCCGGGGTACGCCCTCACCGGGAAAACCACGGTGTCCTGTTTGCCATCGGGAGTCTGGAGCATCCCTTACCCCCGCTGTGAAGGTGAGCTGGAAACGCTGGTACCCACAGAGGGAAGGGCCAGCACCCCTGAACTGAACTGTGACCTCGCAAACAAAGGGGGAACCTCAGCTCTGGCTGCTCCCCCAGCCCCAGCTCTGCTGCTTTTCCCCCCCAGTGATCACCTGCAGCAGCCCCAGCATCAAGAACGGAGAGGTGGCCGAGGGCCGGAGGGCTGTGTACCACCCTGGGGACAACGTCACCTTCCAGTGCCAGCCAGGCTTCGTGCTGAGGGGCAGCCGTGGGGCCAAGTGCCAGCCCGACAGCCGCTGGGTGCCTGCTGTCCCCACCTGCCAGCCAGGTGAGCCAGCTGGGACGGGCTTTGTGTGGTACCAGTGCTCCACCTCTGGGTAAACCCCTAAACCTCTGCTCTCTGCTCTCTGCTCTCTGCTCTCCGCTCTCTGCTCTCTGCTCTCTGCTCTCCGCTCTCTGCTCTCTGCTCTCTGCTCTCCGCTCTCTGCTCTCTGCTCTCTGCTCTCCGCTCTCTGCTCTCTGCTCTCTGCTCTCCGCTCTCTGCTCTCTGCTCTCTGCTCTCCGCTCTCTGCTCTCTGCTCTCTGCTCTCCGCTCTCTGCTCTCTGCTCTCTGCTCTCTGCTCCTGCCCTGGCAGCGCTGCTCTGCCCTTCGCCCCCTGCCATTGCCCACGCCGCGCTGAGCTGGGTGTGAGCCTCACCAGCAGCAGCTCTGTCAGCCACAGCTGCCAGCTCCTCCCTGCTCGGGGACCCCTCGGTCCTGTGCACGGCCTGGGGCAACTGGAGCCTTCCCTACCCACACTGTGCAGCTGGGGCTGGCTCAGCATCCATCCCGTGCCAGGCTCAGAATCCATCCCATGCCAGGCTTAAAATCCATCCTGTGCCAGGCTCAGCATCCATCCCGTGCCAGGCTCAGAATCCATCCCGTGCCAGGCTCAGCACCCATCCCGTGCCAGGCTCACCCTGGATCAGGCAAACCTGCCAAGCTGCAGGATTGCCCGGTGTAGGGAGAGCCACACGCAGGAGCTGCGCTCTGGTGGCGCTGGGAGTAAGCTGGTGGCACTGCTCAAGTTTCCCAAAAGGAGACAGGCTTGGGTGTTCTAATGCTGAAATTAAAGATTTCTGCACTCTACAGCCCAGAGTCGTGTGAAGGCACCACACTGGCCAAACTATTTTTTGGGCACTGTTTTATCCTATTTTTTTTTAAGACCACATAAACTAGGTGCCACTCCGAGCGTTATTTGATTCAGACAAACGTCAGACTGCACAGAAGATGCTTTAATAACTTGGGGTTTAACAGTGCCTATCATGCACCTGTTTCTCTTTAGCTAAAGACATATTTCTCATGCCCATTTTGTTTTTTAGCAGCCGATTGTGGCACACCACCACTGCTGCTGTTTGCTGAGCTAAGTGAGGAGTATGAAAATCAGACTGCGTTTCCCGTCGGGATGACTGTGAACTACACCTGTCGGCCTGGATACGTGGAACAGCCACAGATATCACCAACTATCACATGCCTTGAAAATCTAACGTGGTCTGAAGCCAAGGAGTTTTGCAAAAGTAAGTTTTGGAGCTGCTTCTAATTTGTTTAAGTTGTTGTGTGCTTGAAGCCTTGTAATTTCTCCTTTACTGCTCCCTCCTTTGGAAGGTTTGGGCAGACTCCTGAAAATAGTGATTCTTTTCCAATGGCACTGAGTTTAAGAAGCTTAAAATCAGCTCATCCCACCCTCTGCCATGAGCAGGGACACCTCCCACTGTCCCAGGCTGCTCCCAGCCCTGTCCAGCCTGGCCTTGGGCAGTGCCAGGGATCCAGGGGCAGCCACAGCTGCTCTGGGCACCCTGTGCCAGGGCTTCCCCACCCTGAGAGGGAGGAATTCCTTCGCAATATCCCATCTAACCCTGCCCTCTGGCAGAGGGAAGCCATTCCTGTCATTCCATCCCTTGTCCCAAACCCCTCTCCAGCTCTCTTGGAGGCCCTTCAGGCATTGGAAGAGGCTCTGAGTTCTCCCTGGAGCCTTTTCCTCAGGCTGAACAACCCCAGCCTCCCCAGCCTGGCCCAGCGTCATGGCCCTGCCTTTTTCTCAGTTTCCTTTTGTCCTCTCTCTTCAGTGCTGCAATGCCCTTCACCTCCAAATATTGACAAAGGAAAGCACAACAGCCAGGACGTGGAGGTTTTTCCCTCTGGGATGGTTGTGAACTACAGCTGTGACCCCGGCTACAGCCTCCAGGGAGAGGCATCCATCTACTGCACCGACTCTGGCAACTGGAGCCTCCCTCTCCCTCAGTGTGCAGGTACACTGTGGCTCTAAGCTTGGAGTTGTGGATAGCCTGGAAGTTTCTGCCTGTAGGACTCATCCTCACTCTTCCCAAAATTCTGAATCCTTTACCCTCCTCTTTTTTTACCCATATTGCACAACGATTTTAAGCTCGACATACTCAAAATACATTTTAAAACTACTTCTGTAGCTGACATCCCCGTTTCTCCCTGTTTTCTCCCCTGATAGGTGGCTGTGGTGCACCTCCAAACCTCACCTTTGCTGAGCTAACCAGGGAATACAGAAATCAGCTGGAATTTGCTGTTGGGGACACCGTGCGCTACAGCTGCCGGCCGGGACACTCCAGACGCCCCGGAGTGCCCCAAACTCTGACTTGCCTCCAAAACCGCACGTGGTCTGAAGCCCTAGAGTTCTGTAAAAGTGAATAGCTCCATCCATTTGGTGTTGGTTGTTGGAAATTGTCTGGTTTGTGGGTTTTATAGAGCAATTTTGAAGGAAAGGTTGATACATGGCTTTACTAGTCACAAGGTCTGGGCCGCTTTGGGCCTTTTCGAAATCACTTCATTGGTGGCAGCACTCGGACAGAGCCTTAAGAAACCTCCTAGTGTGTTACAGAACTTGAGAGAGGAGTTTAAACTCAGCCTTGTTCTTTCCCAGGGAAGCAATGTAAACCCCCAGAGTCCCCCAGGCACGGCAGAGTTGTTGTTCTGACAGATCTCCTCTTCGGGTCAATCGTGAGCCACACGTGTGACCAAGGGTGAGTCCCACGCTGCCTTTGCTGACTCTGAGTTTGCTGTTGGGTAAAGGATCAGAGCCCACCCCTCTGCACAGCTGTTCTCCCACAGAAGGTCTGAACTGGAATTTTGGTTCAAATTTCACCGTATTTGCCTTCTCCAGAAAAGGAGAATTGTCTCATTTTCCCCTCCTGTGCTCAATAGATTAATTTGCAAGCCAGTTTCAGTTTCCCTTCTCAGATGGCCTCGAGCAGGAGCTGAGAGTGGGAGCAAGCCCATGATACAAGGAGGCTCCAGCCCTTGGAAATCAGTTGGGTCCTGATTTATCACCTGACCAATCTAACCCAGAGTTTTTGGGGCCAGTGTTGCTCCTCTTGGATCTGAGAAGAAGGAACTTGGTGTCCTTCATTCCCTCGTGTCAAACCAGCAGAGAGACCTTGGCGATCAGCTGGAACCAGGAGGCTACAGAAGGAAACCTCAGGGGAGGGCACAATCCAAGCTGAAGGATTTGGTATGGGCTGATATTTGTCTCTCTGTACCTCCAGGTACAGATTGGTTGGACAGTCCCACAGGAGATGTGAGATTTTGGGAAGAGATGTTGTCTGGACCGGTCTGCCTCCCACCTGTCAGAGTAAGTAGGTCACCACTAGATCGGGGCCAGAATTGCCATGTAAAGTGCTTAAAATTAAAGAGCATTTCCTTTAAATAAACAGAATTAAAGGAATAAGACTATTAAAGCATAATATTCCTCTGGGATAGGGTTTTTTTATGCTTGCATGTTTGGTTTCTTCTAAAAATCTTCCAGATGTAAGCTTTTGATCTGTCACAGCAGTGCAGACTGAAGAGTTGTGAGATGCCTGTGGGGACTTGTCCCCTTTTGTTTCACAACCATAAATAAGAAATCAAGTAAAAAAATGCTTTGTAGTAGAAGAGTGGTACTTTGAGTACGATTGAAATGGAATTTTCCAAATCCTGTACTGTTATCCAAAACACAAAGATGTTTTGCAAGGGTTGATCATTGCAATTAGTCTTTTCTCCAGATGGAATTGCTTTGGAAGGCAATGAGGTTGGGGTAGTAAAGCATTCATGAGAATGACAGTACTGACAGATTTCTACCCCATTTCATGTATTTATTAGAATATATTCACACTATTCTGTTTACAGCCACAAAACTATGTTTATATATATGATGCTGTGGTACCCTTAAGGTACCTAAAAGAACTAAAACCTCTCAGTTCTTGAATTTATCTTATCTGAGTCTCTGAGTCCTACGTGTGAAATTCCTCTGAGCACACTGGGACTTTAGGATGTGCTCATTATACATGGTTTTGTAGCCCTAAATATGGATTTCTTAACCCTAAATATGTAACCCTAAAATGGATTTCTTAACCCTAAATATGGATTTCTTAACCCCAAATATGTAACCCTAAATATGGATTTCTTAACCCTAAAATGGATTTCTTAACCTCAAATATGTAACCCTAAAATGGATTTCTTAACCCCAAATATGTAACCCTAAAATGGATTTCTTAACCCCAAATATGTAACCCTAAATATGGATTTCTTAACCCCAAATATGTAACCCTAAAATGGATTTCTTAACCCCAAATATGTAACCCTAAAATGGATTTCTTAACCCCAAATATGTAACCCTAAATATGGATTTCTCTCTCAGGGGTGGTGTGCCCAGCCCCACAGATCCAGAATGGGAGGGTGGCTGTCCCCAAGCCCCGCTACACCTACAGGGACTCTGTCACCTTCAAGTGCCACCGAGGCTTCACCCTGCGAGGCCACCACACGTCCCAGTGCCAGGGTGACAGGAGGTGGCACCCACCTGTACCTGTCTGTGAGCGGGGTAAGAATCAGCTCTCGGGGATTGCACATTGCTCCTGACTTCTCCTGCTCACTCACCGAAACCAAAGGTGGTTTTATTTCTCCTGTTTGCTCCAACAAAGAGAACACAGAATTTTTTCCTTTCATTTCGTGCCTCTCTTCACACACAGGAGATCAGCCAGGGCTTGGGTAATGCTGTAAGTATTGGCATGACTTGTGCTTTCTCACACTGCTTGTTGCAATCCATAATCTACAATCTCCCCGTTCCCTGGAAGTGAGGAATTTGGTAGCTGCAAGACACTGACTATCAGAGAGCAGTGATTTTTTTCCTGGAAATGTAATACTGAGGAATTACTGGGGAATGAAGGTAAATTTGTGCATTTTATTTGCTTTTAAATTCTTGTTTTTAAACTCTTAATGCTGCATTTAGATGGAGCGGCAGCACCTTACCACCAGCCTGGTACCACAACAAAGCCAGGTAGGTCTTTTACCTGAAGATTTGATTCATTAATCACTAACTCCTCTTCCCAACCTGTCCTGCTCTTTTGAGGCAACTTTGCAGAGGTTTGTGCAGGGCTGTTGGAGTCAGTGCTGTGGGAGGGAGCGTTCAGCCTTCCCCAGCTGCTCAGAAGTTTTCCCTCTTGGCTCTCTGAGCTCTGTTTTGATCTGCATGTCTCTGTTTTCAGTGCTGCACTGCTCCAAGCCTGAAGATATCACCCACGGGTCTTTCCATGGCCCAGCAAAAGCAGTTTTTACTCCGGGAACATCTGTAAACTACACCTGTGAGCCTGGCTTCTCTCTGCTGGGGACAGCATCCATTTATTGCACAGCATCTGGAGCCTGGAGCCATCCCCCTCCCGTCTGTCAAGGTGTGTTTTGGCTGCAGAGAGTGAAGATCAAAGGACATCTAACAAGTCTTGCCTTGGGGGAAGGTTTGTAGAAGGTCTAGATCTCAGTACAGAATGTGTGATAAGAACAAGCTCGGGTTTTCAGCCTTTCCAAAGCCTGCTGGAGTTCCAGGGGTCCGGGCTGCTGAGTGCAGGGGAAGGAATTCACAGGGAACAGAGGAGGCTGCAGAGGGACAGTGCCTCGGTCACTCCCTGGCCACCCTTCAGCATCTTGTCTGTCCCTCCCTGATTTTCCAGCTGGGAAGTGTCTGCAGCCTCCAAACATCACCAATGGGAGGCTCAAAGGCAACACCTCTGCCACCTTTCCCTCCGGAGCCTCTGTATCCTACAGCTGCAATCCCGGTTACTCACTGCTTGGGAATGCTTCCATCACCTGCACCGTGTCGGGAGCCTGGAGCCAGCCTCTCCCGCAGTGCAAAGGTGAGTCTGAGCTTCCCTGGCTGTTCAGAATTCCGTCTGGGACTGAGGCACTTCCCAGTTCTGCAGCCACGAATAAAGGAGTTACCTTGCGGAATGAGAATTAATTCCTGCTTACACTTCAAGTCCTAAACAACCCACAGCTGTGTTTCTCGTGTTTTGTGTTCCCTCTAAATGTCCTCTTTGTACTGCTTGCCATTTCAGAGATCAGATGTGAATTCCCGGATGTCCAAGGTGTTAAAAAAGCCATTAAAGGAAATACTTATCGCTCGGGGACTAACATCACTCTGGAATGTGATGAAGGTTACGTGCTGGAAGGAATCAGCCGCACGCAGTGCCAAGAGGATTTCAGCTGGGACCCTCCCGTGCCAGCCTGTAAACTGAGTAAGTGTAAAGGAAGCAAAGATCAAACAGAGGCATGCAAATGTATTTTAAACATGCAAATGTCTGTATTTTTTAAAAAAGGAAATACACCAGGAAATATACCAAAGGAAAGGGTGTGGTTTTAAGAAATCTGCTGTTGTAGGTCTTAGCAGTGAGACACTGGCATGGGGAAGCTGTGGCTGCCCCTGAACACCTGGAAGTGTCCAAGGCCAGGCTGGACAGGGCTTGGAGCAACCTGGGATAGTGGAAAGTGTCCTGCTCATGGCAGGGCGGTGGAACCAGATGAACTTTAAGAGATCCCTTCAACCCAAACCAACCTATGATTCTAAAAGGTTTACTGGTATTGATTAAGGACAGTTGAGAAATGTTGTATTTTGGTAGAACAGTTTGCTGATTTTCATTTTTCCCTTCCCTCCAGCATCCTCCCAGTCCAGGTCTGTGGGCCTAGGTAAGCAGCTTACGAACATTTTTGTCCCCAGCTCAGTGGCCTCAGTGGCACAGCCTCCCTCTGCTTACTTGGCAGATACACCCTGTAGTGCATTTTGTGTACTTTACAACACACAGTGAGAATAACCCGGGTTCTTCTCCCTCAGGAGCGGCGGCCGCAGCAGTTCTGCTGCTCCTGGGGGCAGGCGTTGTCTGGAAAATAATCTCCAAGCAGAAGGAAGGGTAAGGCAGCTCTGGATGTTTATTCGTGCCCCTTGGTGCCAAGTCCCAAGCTTTATACACTTGATACACTCGAAATATTTACCTCAGTGTGTCCAGGCCTTGTCATTTTGTACCCTCAGCTCAGGCTCGCGAGTGATACAGCCTGGAATCCATGGAGTGGTTGTGTCAGTGATACAGCCTGGAATCCATGGAATGGTTGTGTCAGTGATACAGCCTGGAATCCATGGAATGGTTGTGTCAGTGATACAGCCTGGAATCCATGGAGTGGTTGTGTCATTTTATTTCAGGCCTCTCTTTCTTAAAGGAAACCAAACCCGGTGTTCTTTTACGAGGCAATTCATTGTTTCCCTCTTTTCCATGTAGCTATTATCGTACCTATGAGAACTACAATTACAGAACCCCCCTGAACCCAGCAACTGAGCACAAAGACTTGTGTCTGCCATAGGAGGTAAGGATTTACACTCCTCAGCACAAAACACCTGCTGCAGCTGCAATAGCGATACTGTCACTTGTTTATACTGCTGACTGCATTGTCTCCTTGAATAAATACTTTCCTAATAGCATCATTCAAGTAGAAACCTCTTTCTCATCTTCTGATAGTATATTTTCTTTTCCTGAATGGAAAATGTTTTAAATATATTGGGCTTTTAAAGCATCCTATTTTTCTTTCTGACACCGCCCTCAAAGCGTGTCTTTCCTTCATCCACAATCTGGATGTCAGACATCCAGACCAGTCCTTGCTTCTGACTTAAAGCTGCTTTTAACTTGTACAGATTATGAAAAAACTGAAAAACTGTCTCAGCCGCAGTAGACTCAGAAAAGGACGCTGAACTTGGTTTCTGGGGGTTTTTATTGCTTTCACACTTGCTACAATGGTATTTTTACTTACAAGTGAATCTGCTTTCTGGGTCTATTGCAGCCAACAGTGAATTTTCACTGTTAGCAGCACTTCAACCTACAAAGTGGGACACGCAAACAATATCAGTTGGGTGATTTCTTTGAAACAAAGCATTTCCCAGAAATTCCCTCCTCCCTCTCCGGGTGGTGATGGAATCTCTAGAAATCAGTAGAAAAACAGGAAAGCTCTAATTTCAACAGCAGGATATCATCTCCCCTAGGCTGGGCATCCGTGCTGCTGCTAACCAGGCACCAGGCTCGGAGGAAACGCTGCTTACATGGAGACTGGAATTCTGTGCCCAAAACAGGACATTTTACTGTAAATCTTGAATGCTTTTCTGCTCTCAGTAGTTACTGTAAGGATTTAACGAGGCTCAGACTGCACAGTGCAGGTGCTGCCTCGGAGGGAATTCTGTGCGCTGCTCCTGATGAAGAATATTTCCTTTATCCCCAAAAAACTGGATAACCAAGAAGATAAACCTGAGCTTTGGTAGAGAGAAACATAACCCCCATTCCCTGTCTCCCTGCACCCACCAAAACACACCTGGGCAAGGTGTTAATTAATTAATGTCTTAATTACAGCTGTATTTACATCTTTATTTCCTTCCAGCAATGCTTATGTGCAGCGTTCCTCTGGCAATGCTTAACCTAATAAAAGCTGATGATGACAACTCTGTGTCTTCTTTTAGATCTTTAAGTCTTTTCTGTTTTGTTTTGGTTTTTAATAATTTTTTTTGGCTGTTCTATTTCTATTTTATCGAAGGGTTCGATCTCCTTGCACCCAGGGCTGTAATGCGCTGAGGGTGGCGTAAAATGTGGAATATGTCCACATATTCCAAGATTACTTTAAATCAGGGCGCTCTGTGGTGGAAAATCTTTGTGTACTTTCAATCCTAATCCATGAAATCCAAAGAGTGGAGCAAGTGCATCTCCAAAAGAACTACCTTTAATGATGAAGTAAATCACGGTGCTTCTGTATGCATTTGGCAAAATACTCACGGCCTGTGCACTTTTCAGCCGAACAGTGATTATTACGCTAATAAAAACCACACCTTGGTGTCAAACAGAGCCTTCCCCGGGCATGCGCTGAGCTGGGATTGCGTCATTAGTATTGAAATAAACTCATTACACCAGCCCTGCCTGGAAACCGCCTGAACGCTGTTACAGCGTAGCGGGGAGCGCGGCCGGGCAGCAGCGGCGAGTCCCGGTGACCACCGGGCCGGGTGTCCCAGTAGCGTCCCCCGGGATCCGCGGCTGAGGGAGCCCTGAAGGAGCCGCGGCTGAAGGAGGCGCTGAGGGAGCCCCTGAGGGAGCCGCGGCTGAAGAAGGCCCTGAGGGAGCCCCTGAGGGAGCCGCGGCCATGGCGGCGCCGCGCTGAGGGCGGGCCGTGTGGGCGGCCCCGCGCATGCGCACCCGGCCCCGCGCTGCGTCTCCGCCGCCGCCGGGAGGGAGCGGAGCGGCCGCAGCCGCGGTCCCGCTGCGGGATGGGGCAGCTCCCGGTGCCGCTGCCGCTGCCGGTGCTGCTGCCCGCGCTGCTGCTGTGGCAGCTCGGCGGAGCCCGGGCTGAGGGTGAGCAGGGGCCGCTCGCTCTTTGCTGTCGCGGGCGGGCGGTGCCGCTGGGGAAGGGGCGCTCGGAGCGGCGGGCGCGGCGCGGAGCCCCCTGAGGGGCCGCGGCCGGGAGCAGCCGGGAGGAGGGATGGGGATCATGGGGGTCTATGGGGATCGTGCCCTGCTCCCCGCTCCGGTCCCTGAGGTGCCCTCGGGGCCTGCCGGGGGGGCGAGGGGAGGCAGGAAGGAAATGGCTGTAGGGCGGTGGTGGAAGCACGGGGGTTTGGGCGGTGGCGCCGGGTTTGGATCGCAGAACCGCGGGGCTCTTGGGCTGGGGCGGAGCTCCGGGCTCATCCCGTCCCACCCCTGCCCTGGGCAGGGACACCTGTGCTGAAACCTCTGTCCAGCCCTTGGAGCTGATTTTAAGCTCCGCTTTCTTTTTCCCTTACGGACAATGAGCTCTGTGAGAGGGGCTGGCTGGTTTGTTTTGCAGGCAGGAAACGGGATGGGTGTACGGTGAGTTAAGTCGTGTGTTTAACTACAGAAAGAGGCAAACAAACAAAATCTAGGGTCTGGAAGGAAGTGCATTGTCTGGGTAGAATGACTAAAGAGCTCGAGGAAACAATGCCCTACACACGTGTGGAGCTGGACGCTGCATGCACTTAAAACCTAAACTAAAAATTTGGAAACGACTTAAATACATATTTAAATGCTCTTGAATGCTTCATTCTCCTGTTCTACACCTCGGTGCGTTTCTCTCCTTGTTGCTAAGGTGCTGTGTTGCTTTTTCCTTCCCTCTCCCAGGCTCGTGTCCCAGGCCAGATCGGCTGCAGTACGCAGAGCTTAGCCAGAGCTCCATGGAAATGCAGGATTTTCCAGTTGGAAGCCAAATCTCCTTTATCTGCCGCCCAGGATACATCAGGGTCACGGGGATGTCACTCACCTGGACGTGTGGTGATGACTTGCAGTGGTCACCCAAGGGCGTGTTCTGTACAGGTAATTTTTTTGTTCCCCCCTCCTCTTTTTCCCCACTGATATTTAACATTTTCACTTGGTTTGCAAGTGGGAATTGGGGTTTTGCTGTATTTTAAACAAAGCTTGGAAAACGCTGGTGTGGGTAAGAGCAATAAGTGGTGAAGATTTTGTCTTTGTATGTAACTACAAAAATGTAGATTTTTCTTTATCTTTTTTTTTTTCCTTCCCCCAGAGAGAAAATGTCCATACCCAGGAGACTTGGAAAATGGTTATTTTGATGCAACAGATCTTACATTTGGTTCAAAATTGACATTTTCTTGTAAAGAAGGGTAAGTGTTTTGGTAAAGTTAATGAATCCTTTTTTATGTTTACACCAGATTTGAACCAAACCCAAATTTTCTGCTCTAGTTCTGACCTGAAATCCGAATTCTACCTGTGACAAATGAAATTACAGATAAATTTAATTTGATTCCCTGGTTTAATTATTCTTTGCATCAACCCTAAGCTTTCTAGTGAGATTTTGCAGAACTTGAGTGCTACCTCCAGTGACTTCTTTTAATGCTCCTGTGGCAGAGGGAGTAAATATATATTAATCAACTTTCATTATTGAATAATTAAGTCAAAAACACTAAGTAGGGTTTTTTTCTCCTTGAGTATTGGTAATTTTAGGACTTTAATATTAGAGGGTATTTCTGAAAATGGTGAGACTTCCACAGTTCCTTAGGGATGTCTCTTTTGTTTCTGTTTTGCTTTCAAAGTGGGTCTGTCAGCAAAATAAACAAGATTCTGTTCTCATTGCAACAAAACCTTGGTGTGTTATGTCCCATAAGGACAGAACAGAATTAATTACAAGAACCAGTTTTTTGGTGCTTGTTGGAGAAATGAGAAATTTAAGTTTCACTTCTTGAAAATTTTTACCTGTTCAGATACAGATTACAGGGTAGTGAAGAGATTTCCTGTGATATCAAGGATGAGGGTGTTGGCTGGAGTGCAGCTCTGCCTTCCTGTGAAAGTAAGTAAATTACTGCTGGGTCTGATTTCCTGTTCAGGGGGGGTGGTAATTAATTTACAAACAGCTCTGCCACCAGCTTTCCAGTATGAAAAATGATGGGAAAACAGGAATGATTTTTTTTTTCTTAACTACTTGGCTTGTGCCTGAGGAATGACCACTGAAAAATGTCAGTTTTTGTGGTAATCGTCTCATATTAAAATCAACCTCGTGTTGAAGTTGGGGCTCTGTGGTGTGATTTCGGGTAGCTGTGTCAGATTTTGAACGAAATTACCTTTAAATCAAGGCTTGCTCTTTGAGATGAACCAGCTAACCCAGCAAAACCAATTTTTGTGCTTTATTTACAGAAATCCCTTGTGAGCCACCACCCAAAATAGCCAACGGGGTCTACGAGGAAAGGGTCAGCTACGTGTACCAGAGCTCAGTGACCTACAGGTGTCGGGATGTTCCCAAGGGCAGCGATCCCTTCTCCCTCATTGGCAATGCCACAATCCACTGCACATCTGATGAGCACTCCAACGGAGTCTGGAGTGGGCCACCTCCAGAATGTCGAGGTTGTTGAGGTTTTTAGTGCTTTACTGCAGTGTCTGTCCCTTTCTTTGGAAGCAGGATGGAGTTTGCCTCTAGGAAAGAAGGAACAAAAGCTCTGGGACAAAGTTTGGGACAGTTCCAGTGGAGGTCACATCAGCGTGGTGGATATTGATGGAATTATGACACAGAATATGACTAAAATTTAAGTTAAAGCTTGAAAAATAACTGTGTGAGTGTCTTGTTGGTTGAAGTGACAAGGCCAAAGTGGAGGAGCTGGGAGACCACAAATCCCACAGAAAAATTGTGTCAAGGGCAAGGATGTGGGGGTTGGATTAGGAAGAATCCTTTTCCTAAAAACACAGCCACTGTGGAAGTGCAGGAATCACTGTTTTTACAAAGGTTCTTCTCCAAAAAAAGTGGTGGAAGTTGGCACGCAAGGAAAGGATGTTGTGTTTGGTGCAATGTTTGTGTTAACAAATGTTTCCAGGCTTTTGTTTTCATTTATTAACAAATGCTGGCGTTAACAAGTGTTTGGCCTCTTTCAGTGGTCAAATGTGAAGACCCCAGAGTTGAAAATGGGAGAAAAAAATCTGGATTTGGAAATTCCTACAGTTACAAGGACTCAGTTGTGTTTGAGTGTGAACAAGGCTATTTCATGGTTGGAGCAGAGGTAATTACCTGTGAAGAAAGTAGCACCTGGGTTCCTCCAAAACCAGCTTGTGAGAAAAGTAAGATTTTCTGTAAGATTCTCTTTTCTCTTGTGTGTTGAAAGTGTTTTAGCTAAAACAGAGCATCATGGTGTTCTAGTGATTTCATGGGTGAAGGCAGGAGGAAAGGTGTGGAATGCAGGAGAAAATATTTGATCCAGAGAAGTAGGAGTATGCACAGTGAGGAAAGCTGTAGTATCCTGGAGTAGTGGAAATCTTTGTGTGTCTATTTCTAGGCAGCTCTTCAGCTCCTACTTTTTAGAAATGATTCTAGAGCTCGGAGGAATAATGAACCATCATGGATTTCTGAGCTGCCACATCATAGACTTGTGTTACCTTAATGAATACCTACATTTATTAATTTTCATGATGATTATGATCATTTTTGTGATGTTTAAATTTTCTGCAGGGAATATTTGTATTTAAAGTTGGGGTAAAGTTAAACTTCTGACATGTGCTGAGCTATTTTTCTTACACGAAAGCAGCTTGTATTTGTGGAATGAGTGACTGAATTATGAAGTAAACTGCATTCTCACTAAATTTGTTCTAAGTTCCTGTGACAGCTCCTGCAGAGGTGTGTCCTGCCCCGGAGGTCCCCAATGGGCTCCTGGTTCCAGTCAAGGCTGAGTATGACAAAGGAGAGTCCGTGCAGATCCGCTGCAACGCTGGCTGCTCCTTCCCTGATGGCTCTGCAGAGGTGACAGTGACCTGTGGAGAGCAGAGGTCCTGGGGTGCTTTACAGCACTGTGCCTGTGAGTGAAATTGCTGAAATCAGGAGCAGACTGGCAAGTTTGAAATGTCTGATGTAGTAATACATTTTTTTATTATTTTCTTTATGATTTCTTTATGATTTTTATTATTTCTTGATTATTTTATTATTTTTATGATGTCCAATGGTTTCCAATGGTTTCCAATGGTTTCCAATGGTTTCCAATGGTTTCCAATGGTTTCCAATGGTTTCCAATGGTTCCCAATGATCCCAATGATCCCAATGATCCCAATGATCCCAATGATCCCAATGATTCCCAATGATTCCCAATGATTTCAAATGATTCCTAATGATTCTTTAATGATTCTTTCTTTAATAATTTATGATTTTTAATGATTTTTTGTGATTTTTTTTTAATGATTTTTAAATTATTTTTTAACGATTTTTTAATGAAATTTTATTTTTTTAATGATTTTTTTTTAACGATTTTTTTTTTTTTTTCCTCCCCCCCCCCTTTTTTTTCCAGGCGAGTCTGAAGGCTCCGGTTCCACACCAGTCATAAATTATGGGAGGGTGACAGCTGGACAAAAATCTTCCTATTCTGTGGGGGATTTCATCACCATCGAGTGTTACACAGGGTACACCTTGCAGGGGGAGCCTCGGATTCAGTACACCGGAGACAACCAGTGGGTGCCAGCAGTGCCAACCTGCCAGCTCAGTAAGTGCAGGCTGCAAAAACTCCCAGCAGGATGGAAATACACCCTTTTGGTAATCAGGAGAAGTAGTTTAGTGCAGCTTCCTTCTTTATTTTGGTGTGGGAAATAAGGTTTTTGTTATTGGCCAGGAGGAAAAACTCCCATCAGCTTCCAGCAGTTTCAGCTTCCTTAGCTCTCAGTCCTTTGGTATTAAGGAGAAATAGTTTAGTGCAGCTTCCTTCTTTATTTTGATGTGGAAAATAGGGGTTTTTGTTATTGGCCAGGAGGAAAAACTCCCATCAGCCTCCAGCTGTTTCAACTTCCTTCGCTCTCAAAGCTAATCTTAAAAGTGCAGAATTTAATATATAACATAAACCAGGCTTTTGGGGATACCAGTAGCATAAAGGACATTCCACCCCTTCAACCTGTGAACACCTACCTAAAAATTATCAGTTATATTCAATATACAACTTCACTTAAAACAATAAAACTACTGAATTGACAAAAAGAAAACCAAAAATCACTAATTTCCACCCCTAGACTTTTTACCATCACTGCTATATAAACTTAAGGCAATCATGCTTTGCTCTTAATTAATCTTTTATCTCACAGCTTCAGTTCAAAAACTGGGCAGAAACACCATTTTATATTTAAATATTTGTTAAAATATTATAATATTTAAATACTTGTTAAAATATTAATTAAAATATTAATATTCTAAGTTAAATGTGTTTTATTATTTAAATTAGTCTGCTTCAAGGATTGTGTTGCTAGAAGTACCTTGAAATAGGTCTGTGAATATTTTTTATAATAATGTTTGAGTAAGAAGCACCTGTGTTCCTCTTGTGACACTGATTCCTTCTGTTTTTAGGTGGATATATTATAGCCATCATCTGTGGTAAGTATTTTCTAAAACCTTAAAAAAAATACAATACAAATTATTTTTTTATGTGAAAATCCATGCTGCATGATTCAAAAAAAGATTGCTTAGCTATTACAGTTTAATTTAGTGTGAAATGTGTATTTTCTCATGTGATGAGGCCACATTTCAGAGGCAGTTTGCAGCAACTTGGCCACTTTGATAAATTTCAGGGCTTTTTTTAAACTACTTTAAATTAAATTTAAATTTAATTTTTTTTAAAATTACTGGGGGTGTGAGTAAATAACTCTGCCAGCAAACAGAAGTGTTCAGTCCATCCTCTGTCCTTGCTTTTGTTATGCAGATTTGTATAAACTTGGCAAATGTAGCCTCAGGGCCTTGTCATTCCTGTTTTTTGTGTTTCTGAGCTGGTGAGGTTTTGTCATCTTGGTGGTCACTGCTTCTGAGCTGAGCTGTCTTGCAGAGTTTTGAGTAAAGAATCAATTTAAATGTAAATTAAATATTTACATGGCTCATTCCATAAATAAATTGGGCTGTGGGGTTTTTTTTGGGGGGAGTGGAGGTGGGATAGACCTGTAGGTGAAAACAAGGCTATTTCTGCAAAGTTTTTTGATGGTTTTTTTGTGGGCTGGAGATGATCTTTATCACTCTAAGGCTTTTTTTTAAATTTATTTTAATTCTTCCTGAAGTGATTGTGGTAGTTGTGGCGCTCCTGGCTGCCTTCTGGATCTACAAGAAATTCTTCTCACAAAATGGGTGAGTAAAACTTCCTTTTTATCAACACTGCAGATTTCCAAACGACTGAGCCAAAGCTGTGCTGATGTTTGAAGTTTCTTGAGCTTCTTGTGCCCTTTCTTTTTCAAATGTCTGGTTTTGTGTGAGCTCCTCCCAGCAGCTGACGGAAGCTAAAGCTGAATTCAACTTTGGTTTTGGTTCTGCTGTTCAGCTAAGCTGCTAATTAACACTTGCACTAATTTCAGGGGAGGAAAAACCCCGTTCTTAAGCAGTGTCCACTTGCCAAGGAAGGTTTTTTTTTGTCCATCTGTTTCAATCATGTCAGTTTATGTCCTAAAGCCAGGGGGAGTCTTGATTGTGTGGGCTTGTGCTGCCAGAAGGTTTTCAGGTTTTTCTCCTCCTGCAGCCCCAGTGTTGGTGTCCCTGTGCTAAAGATTTGCAAAATCAACTGTAAAATATTATTTGTGGGCAAGCAATTAGTGTTCAGTTTTTAATGAGACATGTAGGGTGTTTTAAACTTTATCTTCAAAACAACTGGGGTTTATATGTGTTTTTTCACGGAGGGGCAGGAGATTTAAATTCCTCTTTGTGCATTGCTTTTTGCTGTGATATCTGATTTTATCTTCTGGAAAAAAAAAACCTTTTTGTCAGAGAAATTTTTTGTAAAATGCAAAACACTGCCAGTCCAGAGCAGCTTAGGTGGTGCACACAGAATGTCAGGGTAAGCATCTCATCAAAACAGCGTTGTCCTTTTCCAGAATCTTTTGGGATTTATCTGCAGTGCATGAAACAAAGGAAAGGATGCTTTAAATGAAGCAAACCAGAGGGAATATTCCTGTGGTTCGTATTTGTAATGAAGTATACAGAGAGGAGCTGGGAGAGCCCTGGAGGTGGTTTATATCCAGTCAGGTTTTGCCTTAATGTCTTTTAAAAGGCAGTGCAGTATCAACCCAAGGCCAGAGTGTGCTGCTGAGCAATTTGGTGCTTTTGAGCCACTGCTTTTATCTTGCACTTGGATATTCTGCAGCCTGGATGGGGCAGAGAGGAGCTCCTGGCACTTCAGGGCAGCACTTGCTGCCTTCATCCGTGGAGAGACTTCTCAGGGTGTAGAAAGCAGGAGGGATCTAAAGCAGCACCATCAAAAATTAATGACTGTGACATTCCTGAATGTCTGACAGCTTGAAAAGCCTTATTGTGCCCAGTGCTTCCCTTCATCTTCCTCTCTGTGAACATCTGACTGTTTCTTGTCTGAAAACCCTGATCTAACCTCCTCTTATTAAGGCCTCCCTCTCCCTGTTTAGCATTCCGAGTTCTGATGCAGCTGAGCCTTTGTGAGCTGTTGTGCTTCCAGCCCCTGCTCCTCGCTGGTTTGTAGCCTCCAAAATGACAGCAAATCTTTCCTTGGCCTCTCTTTGTTGTGTGTTTAAATTGCACTTGGACAGGACATTCAATCGGCCCTTTCTCCCCCTCTGCTGTTCAGCTCGTACACAGTTGATGAGAGTTGCAAGGAAACTTGTATTTTAAAAGCTAATGTCCCAGCTGAGATGGAAGGAACTGCACAAATGAATTAAAGAAAAGGTATAATTTTCCACTTTGTTTGGACATTTTGCAATGCAGCTTAAGTGTCTTTTTTTTTTATTGTGGCTTGCTTGGAATTTCAGGAGTGTGGAATCCATCTAGCTGGGAACCTTGGCTTCCTGTAGGAAAGAGTATCCTAACCTTTCATTAATTTTGGGAAAACAGGGTATAATATATAAAGAACTTTCATTTAGCAGTGTCAGTAAGAGGTTCCAGTGATTGTAAATCACATTTCTTGGTGTTGTGTTTGAAGAACGAGTAGCATATTGCCTACAATACTCAGCACCCATCCCAGTGTTGTGTTACTTTTCTTAATTAATAGTTTAATTCCCTGTTATTAGAAGCTAAAAACCTTTAAAGCTGGGCAGTAAAACTCTGAAGGTAATTGTGCATCCCTTCAGAGAAAACCAGATCACATCTCTCACAAATACAGATTCATCTGCATTTTTGCTTTCTTAAAGAGAAGAATGAAGGGCCTAACAACATCTTTTGAAACCTTCTTGTGAAAAGGCGATTTCTTTTTCAGATTCAGAGTTTGTTAACCCTGAAAAGGATCAAAATACAGTTGCTTGTGTGCAGCTGATGTCCTCTCCTGTATTTTAACCGAATGCTCAGTCTGGTGAGGTGCCTGATGAGTGTTGAGGTTCCTCCTGCACTTGTGTGGGGTCAAATGAGCTCTTCCAAAACCTGGCTCTTCAAAGCTTGTTTGAACAGAACACTTTGCAGACAGGACAGCTCAGTTTGACTGTTCCTTGCCACTATTTTTTCGTTGCTATCTCAGCAGAGCTGGAACTACAAGTATCTTTTAAACCAGCATCTTTTTTTTTTGTTGCTTTTCTCTATTGCACACATTCTGAAGAGGTGATGGGTTCTCTTATCCCAGCTTCATGCAAAGGTCTTTTCATGTGCATAGTCTTGATTTTATTGACTTGTAAAGTGAATTTTCAGTGTTTTTGGTGAGTTTTTATATGAAGATTAATCTTGGTGTTTATTCCAAAATAATGTATAGATTAAGGAATATCATCTTCACTCGGAAGAAAAATGTTTCTAATTCAGATAGGATCTGGTTTCTGGGTTAATTTTGCTTGGTTTTGGAGGGAAAAAAGGAATCAGGAGATAGACTAGAACATAATTCTTCATTCCAGTCTTACCTTTATGCATGATAAAAGAAATTACTGGTCTGGTGTGTCAAACCACTGGTAATTCTGGAGGTTTTCTTATGGAATGTGGAACTCCTTAGAGACTTGGAGTAATAGCACTGAGGTTTGGTATGGGGTGGGTTTTTTGTTAAAGCAAAACAGGACATACATAAGAATGTCATTGTGAATTTTAATTCATGTGTGTTTAAGTATTGTAAGGTTGCTGTTAGTGGACTGCAGAATGGAAATCCACACAAACTAATATTTCATCTCTGGTTAGAAAATGTGTCCTGAGCAACACACTGTAATTAAAATGAATTTCAGGGTGCTACAGGAATCCTGTAGCTGTTCTGGTGTTAGTTTTTTTGGTAATATCAGTCATCACTTGAAATGATCCCTTTGGATCAAAGGCTCTGCTGCTCCGTGGGTCATTCCTGACAGTTCAGTGGCTGAATGAAGCTAAAATCTCCTCAGCCCAGCAGCTGCTTGGTAAAGAGAGGCTGGGGAGCGACCCAGTTTGTGGCTTTAATGATAAAACTAAGGATGCGCTTTCAGTGTAAATGTGAAACCTCTTGCAATGCAAAACCTCTGATTTGACTTGTTTTTTTGTTTGTAGGAAACGTGACAGCACCCCCAGTTCTGCCGAATATAAGACGTGTAACCCATGACTGACTTTTTTTGGGGGGGGTGGGAGGGACTTTGTGGTGGAATATCCCTGTCAGAGCTGGAAAATGATGATTGCCCTTGCACTGAGTTGCTGTCCATGAGTTCCTTGTGCTGTGTCTTGCCCTGCTGATGAACTGGAGGAGGAGATGCTTGATAGGATAAAAAGTGCGTGCGCTTATAGATAACCACAGACAGATCCTGCTTTGCCCTCGTTGTCCCTCTGTGAGCTGGGGAAAGGCAATAGCTGCAGCATGCCAGAGTCTGTGGGAATGCTGCAATTTCACTGCCCAGCCCTGCTGCCTTCAGTGCTGCCCCTTGCCTTACAGAAAATGTCCAATATTCTCCTTTCCTGCAGAGCTCTGCTCCCTCAAGCCTGGTTGTCCTTCCCGTCCCTTTTTGCAGTTGAGGTGGTGTAAATGGTTCTGTTGTTTTTCTGAAATGTGCTGTTGCTCCTTCCCTGAAGGATCTGGTGCCCTTGTAGGCCATGTCTTTTTATCATGATTAAGATATTATATACTCTACCTCTTTGTCTGCCAAAGCTGGTTGCTGTGTATATAATGAATTAAAGTGTGCCTTGAAATCAGAGTTTTATAGCTTTTCCTTTGCTTTAAAGAAGGAAAAAAGCCATATATATATATAATATATATATATATATATATATTATATATATATATATATTTTTTTTTTCTGATTCTTTGCTATAATCCCCCAAAGACTGCAGTGGATTTGTTGGAACTGAAAGCTGAAGGATTCTGTAGCAAAGGCATCCCCTGCCTGTTGACAGGAGGTCCTGAATGAAAGGAACTGCTGAGAGCTCAGTGGTGGCTGTGTCCTGCCATGAGCACAGTGGAAGTTCCTTGGGGTGCTTGATTTTAGTGAGTTTTGATGTCAGTTCTGGAGATCTTCTGTTGCTTTCAAGGATAGAAACAGGTGCTGTGTGATCCACCTTCCTTGCTTTTCTTTACTTGAAGTCACATATTGCACATTTCTAACCTCTGCTGCAGACTGGGATGTTAAATCAAGCTCTGAAAAGCTGGATTTAGCTTCCTGTTTGGAAGCAGGAGCTTTTCCCTGTGGCTCACTTTCCATGTTAAAGGCGAACCAGACCAGTTCAGCTGTGTGAGTGCTGGTAGATGTGGTGGTCTCTTGTTTTGCTGTTTGTTCATCAAATGTTTTTGTCCAGATTCTGACTCCAGGAGCTCCCACCACGGTGTTTGTCATTAGCAGAGACCCACTGCTACTTCTAATTCCTCAGCAAACCCTAAATCATAACTAGAACAGGTCTTTAGCTTCATGAATCTCACTATCAGCATTCAGGCAGCTTCTAATTTTCACAGAAAACCCAAACAGCCTCACTTCAGATGCCTGAGGCTGCATTCAGACTGCTCTGGCTTGTCTGTGGCTGCTTGGCACTGCTCTCCCTGTCATCAACAGATTGTTGGAGTGGCACAGAACTGTTGAGGGCTTTTTGGGACAATCCCAGCAGTCTCATTGTTAGAGTTCATAATAGGCTGTGGTTGTTAGAAAGGGGCTTTGGCTCTGCAGGAGGATTTGCTGTTGGTGGCCTGGCTGATATCTCAGTTTGAGAGGTGTTTGCAAACACTGGGATGTGTGACTGGGGCTGAGTGTGCTGGTGGTCAGGAGCTCAGCTTGCTTTGTGTGGCATCTGCAATGTGCTGAAATACACTGGAATGTACTTTGTTGGGAAGTGAAATCACTGTAAAAAGCGGCCTTTTTTACTCTTCTTTCTGGATGTAAAGATTAGCGATGATTTGTAATACTCCAAATAAAAATGTTAAATTATTTAGCAGTAAGTGTTTGTCTTTCATTCATCATTGTGCTGAGCAGCTCTTTTCCCATTGCTGTCCAGATGATTTTTCATATCCCAAACATCAGGTGGAAACTGCTGAGATTGAAGTTTGCAGTGGAGTTCCCCAGTGGCAGTGTAGGGGATGGGTTTTAATTTGCTGAGCACCTTTTGGGGTTTCCTTTTAGAATTGCAGAGAATTTCCCAGAACCTCCAAAATTTTGCGGTGTTGACTCCTGAAAAAATTGGTTGATGGAGAAGAGGAAGTTTATCTTGGGGCTGCTCTGTGGAACACTTGAAGCAAAGGCCAGAGGATGTTTTGTCCCTTTTGTCCAGTGTGTGACAAATGCAGTCCTTAGGGAATACAGCTCTGGGGGGTTTAGGGGACCTGTGAAAGGGAGTGGATTTAGGAATTGTGCGAGTTTCACACTCAAAATGTACTGGATTTCCATGTGTGGAGTCTGCCTGATAGACTGAAGCCTTTCAGGGGATGGAATAGAAAAAAAAAAATCACTTTATTTCACGTGTTTCTTTTCCAGTTTGTGGTTGTGATACTCCAAGTGAGTTGGTGTGGAAATTATGCCAGACAGCTTTACACTGTGGAGTTTGGGTTTGCAGTGAGCATTGCTGGAATAAGCAAAGCTTCCAAGGGAAAGTGTCCCTGCCCCTGGGCATGGCATGGGATGGTCTTTAAGGTCCCTTCCAACCCAAACCATTCTGGGATTCTGCTCTCTGATTCTACAAATCTGACTTAAACACCACAAATTAATTTGGCCTAATTGTCATGAGTCCTGTGCTGTTTTTCTAAAACTCAGTGCTGCGTGAATTATTTCATTCTGGAGTCTGGAAATGATAATTAAAGAGATGTGAACTCTGTGCTAAGGGAAAGGCTGCATGGATAAAAATGTGTTGCCATCTGCTGGTAACAGGGGCAGTGGGAGTAACAAAACAGGTCCAGAGTTGCCTGGTTTAAGGTTAAATAATGTGAAGTGACAGTGCTTGGTGGGTTCTTGGTGTCACACTTAAAATCAGTATAAATTAAACCCTGCCCATGGCAGGGGTTGGAACTGGATGATTTTAAGGTCCCTTCCAAGCCAAACCATTCTGATTCTCTGAATCTAAATATTTCTGAGGGTGGTGAGAATGGAGCTGGGGGCTGAAATGAAGAGACTTGCAGCACTTGGGTGTTGTCCAGCAGGGAATCAAGTGATTTCTCTACCTGAGACAGAGCCCAGGAGCACAGAGCACACAGTTTTATTTGAAAGGAAAAAATAAAGTATCTGTGTAAAGAACAGGTCAAGGCAAGCAAACAGCCCATGGAGTAGGAGTGCTCAGAAGGTTGGGTGGCTGTGTTGTCACACCCAGGCCCTGGCTTGCTTGAGTTGAAGAAGCTGAGTTATGTTTGAGGAGATGCTCCTCTGTGTCTGGAAGCATCCCATCCCCACTTGAAGGGACTGTCCTCCTTTTGTGCAGGATGCTTGGCCTGTTGGGGGGAGTTCAGGTCAGGGAACAGCAAAGCTGTTTAAGAGGCCAGGTCATGCTCTGGATGGTGTTTGGGAGGCCAGGTCACGCTCTGGATGGTGTTTAAGAGGCCAGATCACGCTCTGGATGGTGTTTGAGAGGCCAGGTCATGCTCTGGATGGTGTTTGGGAGGCCAGGTCACGCTCTGGATGGTGTTTGGGAGGCCAGGTCACGCTCTGGATGGTGTTTGGGAGGCCAGGTCACACTCTGGATGGTGTTTGAGAGGCCAGCTCGTGCTCTGGGTGGTGTTTGAGTGGCCAGGTCACGCTCTGGATGGTGTTTGGGAGGCCAGCTCGTGCTCTGGATGGTGTTTGGGAGGCCAGGTCACGCTCTGGATGGTGTTTGGGAGGCCAGCTCGTGCTCTGGATGGTGTTTGGGAGGCCAGGTCACGCTCTGGATGGTGTTTGGGAGGCCAGGTCACGCTCTGGATGGTGTTTGGGAGGCCAGGTCACGCTCTGGATGGTGTTTGGGAGGCCAGGTCACGCTCTGGATGGTGTTTGGGAGGCCAGGTCACACTCTGGATGGTGTTTGGGAGGCCAGCTCGTGCTCTGGATGGTGTTTGGGAGGCCAGGTCACACTCTGGATGGTGTTTGGGAGGCCAGCTCGTGCTCTGGGTGGTGTTTGGGAGGCCAGGCCATGCTCTCGATCATGTTTGGGAGGCCAGCTCGTGCTCTGGATGTTTGTTTGTGACTTTGGGGGGTGAGGGAAGGAAGTTTCCCATTACTGTTGCTTTTCCCCCTACATCATAACCGATTTCAAATGGTGCTAGACAAAAACTGAGACTCTGAACACCAAGAGAAATCGGTCAGCCTGTGTAAGAGATGTTTTCCTGGCTCAGAGAAGGATCCTCTTGTAGATGACAGCTATGCATTCTTTAGAGGTGACTACTCAGTGCTCTGGTCAAACCTTCATCCACACCAGGATCGGCTTTTCCATGTCTGGGAACACGCTGGACATCAGGGAGGGCAAAAAAAGAGTTCAGCTTCAGTTTTAGTGGTTGGGATGCAGGGCTGGAGAAGTGAAATATTGCTAGGAGGTACCAGCAGCAAGCTGGAAAGCGATTCTACAAAAAGGAGTGGGTTCTGTGCGTGCTGGAAAATGGTTCTGGAGAAAGGAGTGGGTTCTGTGAGAGCTGGAAAATGGTTCTGGAGAAAGGAGTGGGTTCTGTGAGAGCTGGAAAATGGTTCTGGAGAAAGGAGTGGGTTCTGTGCGTGCTGTGAGGCATCTTGATGATGCCCGTGGCAGGGGCTTGGTACAGGATGATCTTTAAGGTCCTTTCCAACCCCAGCCAGTCTGGATTCTGTGATTGCTGGAGGCACTTCTGTGTTTGACTGCTGAGGTGAAATTGTTGGAGGGAATTCCTGTTTGCAGAGCTATGGCGTGAGAATCCTGTGGTGATGGAGTCCCCAAGCAGAGAGTGGAAATCCTTTTGCTCTGAGGCAATAAATAAAGTGTTGATCGTGGTTTTTGGGTGCCTGTCAAGGTACAAGAGGTACCACGTTGGTTTTCATGCAACTTGTGGATCACTTTACTCTGGAAAAGTTGAACTCATATCCACTGTTTATTAGGCAGAAGTACACGAGCAGGAGGCTGTGCTGCTGTGGCCCTGGCTTGGGAGGGTGCATACAGTGGTTGGAGAAGTCTCTAGAAATCAGATGATGTTACAAAGTGGATGGCTGGCAATACAAAACAACGACAACAAAAAAAAGACCTTTGGGAAAGGGGCTGCTTTGAGGAGCAGAGGATGTTGCTGAAGTGAGCAGGTGCTTGGTCTCCTCCCACGCTGTAATTCTTGCTCCTAGAACACTGATTTCAAATGGTGCTAGATACAAAGTGGGAAAATCTAAGCCACCATGTGAAACCAGCTTCCAGAGGAAGACACATCTTGTGCATGGCTGCAGGCTGAGGGAGAAAATCCTTCATCTCCACTGTACCTAGAGAAAAATTCATTTATTTAGTTTTATTAGACAGCAAGACAGTTACCTTGGGCTTAGCTACTTTATGGATAACGCTTTTTTTGTGGCATCTTGTGGATGGTTGAGGCTGGTGTAGGAGAAATGAAATTTATGTGGTGAGGAAAGCCCCCAGCCTGGCAGTGAGTGTTGTTTCCTGCCCTAGCCAGGTGGAATGCGCTCAAGTTCTTCCCAGCAAGTGATGATTAAGGTTTTATTTCTTGCTAGTGCAGAGCATGATGCTGATGGGGTGAGTGTGGGAAGTTTGTGTGGTACAGGAAGACTTTTTCCATTTCACTGCAGATGAAACCAGGCTATAAACCTCATTCTGTCCAAGACACAGAGAGTTCTGG